CCCTCACGGTAGCTGATTTTACCAATAAGTCTATCAATATTAAGTATGAGTGTTCAGACCTAAACATGAGAGGGGCTGACTCAGATTCGGATTACTAGGGATTATGCGTGTAATCCACCATGCAACAATAACTCCCAACCATTGTTAGATAGTGTATAAAAGAGAGATTCCACCTCTATTTTGGGGGTTCGATCATTCACACATAGAATAAGAAACCCACTTAGAGAGGTTGAACCTCGCTTTTGTGTGTTTCTCTTGAAATCACGCTGTGTGTAAAACAAATACAAAGCAATAATATAGCAATGAACATAGGCTTGATTTATACTAGCTGAACCACTTTAAAAACCTCATTTGTTATCCCATTATGGATTTTCTAATTCATTTCAAGTTGTTATTCTTAATCACTCATACATCATGTCCAATCCCATCGTGATCGATTGGGCATCTCTGGCTGTTGTGTTTTTGCGTAACAACACTGTTATTGTTTAACAAAAAAAATAAAAATAAAAAATAACCCCATTTCTTTTATTATGCCATTGTTGTTTAACACAAAAATAATCCCATTTCTTTTATTACGTTCATGTCGGATTGGTTTATGACGAAATTTGTCTATATCAAAATATATGTAGTCGAAAAACACAAAATATCTTGCGGTGTCATTTTTACAAGTATAGGGGTTACAACAATCTTAACAATTACTTATATTATTGTTTGGTAATTTCATGAAGGAATGTAAAGTATATAATAATCCATTTAATATATAAATATATGAAAATTCTCAAGTACCGATAAGAATAAGTGTCTAGTTGCTGACTTTGATTTTTAGGGTTAGTGAAATTAGCGATTTTTAGGGTAAGATATCTAGGGGTTCCTCTAATCTCTACCCGCCTTCGACACTCTGATTGTAGGCCTCTGTTGGAGCGAATTCTCTCTCGGTTTAGGCTATGGACGTCAACATCTTTGACCTATGCAGGCCGACTACAGTTGATAAAGTCGGTACTTTTCTCCATACAGGTTTATTGGTCCTCCATGTTTCTTTTGCCGGCAGCTACAGTTAGACGGATTGAGAGTATTTTGGCCTCATTTCTTTGGAAGGGTACTTCTCTGTCCCATTCTAGTGCTAAGGTTGCATGGTCTTCTGTTTGCTATCCATTGACGGAGGGTGGCNAAGACTTCGTGATATAACTTTTGTCAAGATCATAATTATCTACCATTGGATTTATCACATTTGGCTAAAACGATGTTTTACAATCCAAATCCAACGTATCTGTGCATGATCCTAATAAAATTGTATTAGGATATGATGCCCTGACTAAAGAACTATCGTATATAAATAATTTTTTAGTCAAAATCATGCATATACATCATTGGATCCGAATTGTAAAATATTATTAATATATATTAATTTAATAAATTTTATCGTATAGATTGTGTTTTAAAATATAGCGATTATGACAATAATTAGTTAAATAGAAAAAAATGTCGGAGAGAATATTCTTAGTTGCGCTAAAGGATGGATTATATTATTCTTATTTTACTTTAATATTCTATATTCATTTTCAAAATTACCAATGATGTTGGTTAGGTGCGAGCAAAATTTTAGGGTAGAACCGGAACCGATAGGTACTCGGGTGTTGGTTCCGGTTCCTATCTGGAACCTGTCGTAACAAGATAGGTTCGAGTTCCAAAAAATTTGAACCAATAGTGTGCAATTTCGGTTCCGATTCCAAATCCAAGGAACCGAAACCGGAACTAGGAATCGGGACTAAATTGATATAATATTAAAGAATAGGGGGTTTTTGATATTTTGCATATAGCACTGAGCAGGATCCGACCCCAGGTCGCTGAACCTTTAGGGGACAATCATCTTAGGTCGCTTGTGAAGTTCGCCAAGCTCACATCGCAACCTCCACTCGCTGGTCAAGTAAAATCGTGAATTTCGTGCTATTTTAGCCGTTCTCCACTTGCAACTCGAGTAAGCGATCCTTGGGATGAGTCAAATAATGGCATAATCATGAAGTTCTTAAAGTTTAAGCCTTAAACCTTAAGAACTGGAGGGCTTCTGTTATGCCTAAAAAATTAGGACTGACGCAGACTTACGTCAAAGAGGACCAATCAAAGTTCAAGAAGGCATTGTGTCGTCTATATGTTGTCATGTCGTCCAAGAACATAAGGAGTAAGGCTAAGAGTCACCCACCTATCCAAGCTCTGCGCGATGTAGGGATATCTTCTGTGCAACTGGCCAATGGGAAGTAGGGTAGGAACTGTACGGCACCTGCTCGCTGGTAGACCCGCAATCATTACCCAGAAACCTCTTACTATAAATTGAGAGTTCCCCTCTCATTTTTCAGGATCTTGACTTTGATAACACAAACACTCACTCTCCCTCTCTGTATTTCTATTTCTCTGATCGCTATTTGTGACCTAATTGTAATCTTTCATTTATAAAAAGATAATGGACGTAGGATTTGCTTTGAGCATCCGAATCACTTTAAAAATCGTCTCCCTTCTATTTATTTTATTTCCAGTTCACGTGTAATTTTTAAGACTACTTAGCACTTTGCATGTGTCAATAGTTAGTGTCAAAATCAAGCATCAATACTTGGTTTGAACAAATGAGCTTTCTTGTAGAGGATAAGAAGAAAAGCTAGATATAAATTAGATCAAGAAACAGTATTAATAAACAATTGACAATGAATTAAAAAAATAATTATCAATCAATTAAAATGTAAAAATTTTAATATTCAAACGAGATTGATTGCTGAAGAATCTTTCATTGCTATTTTTTATTAGCCTTAATTAAAAAGCTCAGCTCACCTAATAAATCAATCTCAATTACTAGCTTTCAAACATTCAATGGCTGTCCTTGTCTCTTGATTTTCTAAAGAAACCCGTGAAACTGACTTTGATCATATATATATATATATATATATGGCCTCTCTGCGCTGGCATTTCAATCCTTTTGAAAGTTGGTACCTTCCACAACTATTTAATTTAAACCAGATTTAGATATATTTGTATTCTAATGGCATATGTTGGGTTCTCGTTCACCACACTCATTTCTTGAATGCTTCCAAATTCATGCTTTAATTTATACGTAGCCAATAGTGTAGGTGTAGGATATAATTGGAGTATTTATATATGGATAATGGATCCCATATGGCAAGGTGGTCTCGCCCTAAAAGGAGAAAAAAAAAAATAAGAATATAATCACATGCGCGTGATAGAAAGAAGACACAATGCTCGAGGATATATATTCTTAATTTTGGCAAGGCTCTAAGACTATTTTATTTGAAACTGCCTTTTCCTCTAGTTATATTTACCATGTGGAGCCCCATCTTTATCAGTAAACACCCTTCTTTTTTATTTGAAAATGTTAACTCTCTTTTCCTTTAATTATATTTACCTGATGCCCCTTGGTTAAGATTTGTTTTTGTTCATTTTTCAGGTACAGATACCCAATCCATGGAAGAAGAGCAACACATCAGCCCACAACTTATCCTTAAGGCCCAACCAATTGCGTTACAGCCCAAGTACAATTTGATTGAAGCTCCCAAAAACTGACATCACCATAAGGAATATGTAGTTACGATTTTTCACAGCGCAAGAACAACATAAATATTTAGTTTGAAAATTATGTGAAGTTCTTACTTCTAGGATATTTGTCCAAGCCTATAAGCTGGTCAAACTTATTTACAAGCTCTAAAATTAAGCTAATCTGTTTGTTTATAATTTTTTTGAGCTTATAAGAAAAAAAAAAATAAGTTGGAGAGGAGGTACTTTTTTTTTTGGCTTATAAGCACTCTGCTTATAAGCTAGTTTGACCAAGTATATTACCACATTATCCTTGTTTAATTTTAAAATTTCATAGTATATCCTTGTTTAATGTAGTACCCTTTTTAGTCATTTTATAATAAAATGTACTTATAAGTCACATTTTACCAAACACGTCAACTACTTATCAGTCACTTATAAGTACTTTAACCAAACACGTAATTGCTTAAAATTTCAAATGCTTATAAGCTAAAATTAGCTTATAAGTACTTGTTGCTTATAAGCTAATTTTCATAAGCTCAGACAAACATCCCCTTAGTACCAGAATTTCTGGCCGCCCTGTCCCTCTAATTCTCTTACCCCCTTATAAACCAGTTTGAAACATGTTTGATAAAATACTTGTGAGAGTTATATTTGCTATTTGGTATCCCTTTTAGCATAATATTTCATTTAATTTTGTTGTTTTATATTGTATGGGTAAAAATGAAATGATTATAATAGTTTTTTTTATACAAGTTTTAATTTATAAAACTTAAAGTGTTAGCTTTTTAGAAATGGTTAGGCTATGTATACGGTATACCCACTGCCTAATAACTAAAAATTTTAATGGTTATTGGTTAATTGAACACTTTACATTTGAAATGTTATATTGATTTAAATCAGGTAGTTCATAAAAAATTTTAAAAATAGGATTGATATAGTCATATTTTTCAAAACGTATTATTGACAATAGTCGTAATAAACTTGTACTCTATTTTTTTCATATCCGAATTTTATAATTAAATTTTTATAAACATATTTTTTATCATTTACTGTATCATACTTATAAAATTTTCATACTCGTATTTACAACTAGGTACACATTTAGGTAAGAGTCTGGCTATTGTAAGATATAATCTATCCCCTTTCATGAAAACTCATTAAATTATTCTCCCAAAACACTTAATCTTAAATATGTACACGTATTTCTTATTTAACAAGAAGGAAGTGACACTACAACACCTACACATATTTATATTATAATAAGTTGTGATTTTATGTCCATCAATTTTCCTGAGCATTACAAGTGAGGTTTGTCCATTGGTTGCGGTTTGCGACAATAATTTCTTATATTTTAGAATATGAGTTGTTAGCAACACTAGCATACTTTTTAAAAAGTGCAATTATTATGTCTTCTTTAAAATGTTAATTAATTCGATTGACCTTGACTTTGCCACCCCCTTTTTTCTGTTGTCTTACCGTCTTGCTGATCAGCCGGTCTTCTGTAGATTCAATTAATCTTCCCCAATCTTCAGGAGGAGTCAACATGGTATTGTGTTTCCAAGATGGAGGCTGCTCTGGAAGCGAGAGATACAAACACCTTGTATGAACTAATTCAAAGAGATCCATCTATTTTGCAGAGGATTGATGAGATACCTTTTGTTACTACGCCTTTACATGTTGCTGCATCTAACGGGGATATTGAATTTGCCATTGAGGTCATGATGTTAAAGCCATCATTTGGTAGAAAGCTAAACCAAGAAGGGTTCAGCCCCTTGCACCTTGCTTTACAAAATGGGCAAACCGAAACAGTTTTTCACCTACTTGCTGTTGATGCTGATCTTGTTCGTGTTAAAGGAAGAGAAGGTTTAACACCTCTGCATTTTGCAGCCGAGAAAGGAGACGTTCATCTCTTGGCCGGTGTCTTATCAGTTTGCCCAAAATCTTTCGAAGACGTGACTGTAAGAAGTGAGACTGCTCTGCATATAGCGTTGAAAAACAATGAGTTTGAAGCTTTTGAAGTTCAGGTCAAATCGCTTGAGGGGATTAAACATGAAGATAATCGTTTCTGGAATAAAAGAATCCTAAATTGGAAGGAGAAGTATGGAAACACTGTATTACATCTAGCAATATACCAAAATCAACCTCAGGTAAGCTAGCGCATAAATATGCTTTAAAAAATTTCTATAAATGATTATTTTGACATTAATCAAAATAAAAAAATTCATAGTGGATGGATCAATTATTCGTTTATCCATTAAGCAGGCTGTACGGTGTTTATTAAAGGGCGAAGTAGATGTTAATGCCAAAAATTCGGATGGCTTAACAGCTTTAGATATCTTCCTTGCTCAAACTCCTCCAGGAAACGCTGAGTTGGAGGAAATGCTACGCAGTGCTGGAGCATCCGAAGCTTATTTTCTTCCTAGTATTGATCCCTTTGCACGTACCGCAAGGTAAAACGTTTCATTTTATGCATTTTCTGTTGTTGTTTGGAGTGCTTCGACATCTTATCTCCGAAATGATTTGATTTAGCTACTTAATAATTATTCCTCAGTAAGGATCAGAGGTTGAAGAAGGCTACTGAACAGGGAGATTTGGATGCCCTATATGCATTAATATCGGAGGATGTATATCTTCTGGAGCATATAGATGAGGTACCATTTGTTGATACTCCTCTGCACATGGCAGCATCTGCAGGTCATATTCAGTTTGCCTTAGAGATTATGAGGTTAAAGCCATCATTCGCTAGAAAGCTAAACAAACATGGATTTACCCCTATGCATCTTGCTTTGCAATATGAACAAACCCAGATGGTGCTTCGACTACTAGATGTTGATAGAAATTTGCTCGTGTCCAAGGAAGGGAAGGTAAAACCCCTTTGCATTATGTGGCTGAGAAAGGAATGGTGGAAATTCTGTTTGAATTTCTTGCAGATTGCCCAGAGTCTATTCGAGATGTGACAATTCGAAGAGAAAATGCTCTGCATCTTGCTGTAAAAAAATGACAAACTGGAAGCCCCTGAAATCCTGCTACGATGGCTTCACTGCATGGGCAGTGACGAAATACTGGGATGGACCAACGACAAAGGTGAAAATTTATTGCATATTGCAATTTCTAGAGGTCATCTCCAGGCAAGTTTCTGATCTCTTCGGTTCTAATTTGTATATTTAATTGAATCTCATATATATATATATAATGATTTGGCTAACAAGTTAATAACCACAAGATAGTTTTAAGCCATTTTGAATGTCTATTGGGAATAACTAGTGTTAAAGGGTTAGAGTTTTACACCTAAATGGCTAACACATTAGGTGGAGAGACTCCTCTTCTAAGCCCAATACGTCTCCAATGCTCTTCTGATGTGATGTGGGATCCGTGACATTCTTTTTTAAAACTTAAGACCTTCCCAATGCGTGATGTAGAATCCGTGATATTCTCCCACACCCAATCTTGTTACGCCCATCAAAAGATGGATCGGGTTTACTTTGATACTACTATCACGAGCTGGAAATTTCACACTCAAAAGGCTAACTCATTAGGTGGAGGAAACTCTCTCTCTCTCTCTCTCTCTCTCTCTTTTTAACTCTCTCTCTCTCTCTCTCTCTCTTTTTAAGCGCAAAACCTCTTCAATGTGTTTCTGATGTGGGATCCGTGACACTAGGCAAAACCTCGTGGGATGGCACTCACTTGGGATGGCCTTGGTCGTGGATGAGATGACCTATCAAATCTTGCCAACTAGGTAGATCAAGCTGACAAGGATGTCTATTGGGCATATCTAGACAAATCTCGTGGGATTAATACCCGCTTGGGACATTCCTTGTCATAAATGGGGCCAAGTATGGATCAAGCCCCTTTGAGGCTCAACCTACCCTCGGATTTAAAAAAAAAAAAAAATTTATTAATATATAAACCCACAAAAAAATGTTATTAATATATATACTCAAGCCCACCCTCATATTTAAAATAAATAAGAACTATTATATCAATATCTAAGTCCACAAAAAAAACTTGTTATTAATATATATATTCCAAGCTTACATCATCTTTCTCCACTCTTTTTCTCCACGTTTTCATCTGCTTTTTATGATTTTATTCCTAAAATTCTTTACTCTCTCATTCTCTCTTTGTCTTTCTCATGTTATTTGCTCTTAAAACTTTTGAAGACTAAAATTGTTGAAGCTTTCATTACTCAAGGTGCCACAATTAGCTTCGTTTTTTGTTTTATCAGTTTTAGATATGTGTATTGCTCATTTCAATTTATTTTATTTTAGGGTTGAATTATGCTTTTTTTTTTTTTTTAGGTTTTTTATCCTAATTTGAGAGAAAAAGACATGAATATTATAAGTTTATTTTGTGTTTTGTGTCTAAGAATGAACTTATTTTCCCAAATTAAAACTTTAACTATATTTTAAAGGACATTATTCTTCGCCCACCATTACCATTTTCTTACATTTTAAACATCACGGTTTAGCTGTTCAAAATTATTAAAGAAATTTGAGTTACTATCTATGTTTGTACCAAGAAAATTCTCTATTTTTTTGTTAATTCATATTAAAAATCAACGTAATATTGACTTAATTTAAATTGTAGTTGACTTTAGCTTAGACTATGTCTGATCAAGGTCATGAAAATTTATATTATAATATTTGAAAACCAAAAATTAAAAAAATTAAATTAAAAGAAGATTTTGCTCAAAATTTACTCAATACATTTACTTAAAATTTTGCTTCTCATATATTTATTTAAGTAAAAAAGTATTATGTTATTACATTCTTTTCTTCTAGGTTTTTAAAAAAAAAAAAAAAATTTTAAATTTAGTAATTTTTTAAAGTTTTTATTAATTGTTTGACAAACAAGGCCGAACTGACAGTAAAAATCCTGATCTGCCACCGAATGGGACGACCTATGAAATCCTTCCAACTGGGTCTATTAAGCCGCCATAGATGTCTATTGGGTATGTCTAGAAAAACCTTGTAGACAAACCTTGTAGGATGGACACGGGACAGTTCTCGTTGTGCATAGGGTTGCCAGTAGAATATATCGAGCGGCCATGGATGTCTGTAATGTTTTATAAGCTGATTCTGGTTTTACTTGAAGTAAAAATTTTATTGTTTTATATGCAGATTGTGAAGCTTCTAATCAATAGAGTTCAAATAATAGATGTCAAGAATTCAGCGGGTTTGACGGCCTTCGACATGTTAAAGTATAAAATTCAAAGCCATCCTGAACTTGAAGAAGTGTTGCATAAATGTAGCTCTCTGGAAGTGTCATCATTTTCTAGAAAGAAAATTGTGGATTACCTGAGGGATACCATCAAGGAACCAAGACCACCTGGGTGCACGTCATGGTTCTATTGTCGCAGATTTTTTCATGAGTTGGCACGGTTCTATTATCGCAGGAAAAAGAGTACGACAAATGAAATTCGCAATATAGTACTTGTGGTAGCTGTTCTCATTGCAACAGCAACCTACCAAGTTGCGCTTGCTCCTCCTGAAGATACGGACACAAAACCTAAAGAATTGACCGTCGCCAATGCCACGGCCACCAATGGAACCACAACGGACGGAAACCCATTCTTACCCGACTTTTTCTTGTTCCCAGAGATTCTCAAGTCTTCGGCTGCCCAAATTTTCATGTATTGCAATGGTCTAGCCTTCTATACATCAATGCTAACCATTCATTTTCACCTCCCACGACACAATTTAAAACTGGTATATGTGATCTGCTTTCTGCTATTAATAGCAGCCCGATCGGACATTTCGCTTTTGATTTTGTTTGGAGTGCTGTTTCCGGCTTTGAGTTTCTCTCATCTTCCCTTGAACATCCTCCTTCGTTGTAAAAGGAAAAATTTGTCAGTGCAAGCTATGCGCTCCATTTTCAAACACTACAGAAGCTTTTACAATGAGATGCAATGCCACAGCACGGTTGAAAGAGAGTAAAAGAAGTGTGTTTTGCTGCAGTATAATGATACATCAAAGTTAAGTCTATGAGCTTATAACGTAAAACTTGTAAGCTGTTTTACATTTGACATTTTGTTGTGTGATGAATCTTCAAACAACTTCCAAAAAAGAAACACTGTCAATGATATAGTGCGTTCTGTAGCCAGATTTTCAAAAATTATCTGTAAAAAAGCCTATGCCTATAATTTAATGACTATCATTGTATCATACATGTTAATCATTCTCAGTCTTCCTTACTCCCAACAATATCAATGATGAATCGGTTCAGACGCTGGCCAAAAGTCTTTGTAGAAAAATTCTCTGTGACATGCCTCCGGGCCTCTTCACCCATTGTCTTGGCCAATTGTGGATCCTTGATGAGTGAACCCATTGCCAAAGCAAATGCTTGGGGAGTAGGGTTGCAAAGGAATCCAGTAACCCCATTCTTAATCGTCTCCACAGGGCCCCCACTGTTGCATGCAATTACAGGTTTGTGAGATGCCATTGCCTCCAATGGAACAATGCCAAAGTGTTCATCCTACAATCATTAAACATTTGATTTAAAATTCCCTTCCCCATTTAATCTAATATTAATGAATTGCAAACATAATGCTGGACAAAACTACACCTGAGGTGTATAAAGGACACACAGGCATTCGGAGAGAAGAGCATTTCTTTCAGCTGTCAAGCAAGATGTAACAAAGTTAACCCGATCTGCCACTTTATTGTTTACTGCAAAGCGTTTAAGCTCCTCCAAGTACTCAACATTCTCCCTCAAGCGTTCATCATACCCACCTGCAAAAGAGAGAGAGAGGTCAATTACTCTGTAAATCCAGAAGCCATGCCAGTTTTTTGCTCTCACATCAGCAATAATGTTGCCTTCATGTATATGTAGCACATAGCTTAGCACGCTATTTTGCTTTCCCGGCTGCAAATAATTGAGTTCCTCCAATTCCATGTTAAAGGCCACCAAGAGTTTCATAAAGGAATTCCATTTCACTATTTCACCATGCAGCTATAAACTTTACCAAGCCATTGTTCGTAAAGACTATTCCAGTTATAGATGATATTATGCCTCATTTTCTCCCCTTTTTTTTAACTATGAACAGAAAAGTGAGTTATTTGCATACAACAAACCATAACCAAAATCCCCTTCCACTTATCACCGACTTCGGCCACCAAGATCACTTTTTACTCTGACATGCAGCATTACAGCCAACTCCAAGTTATTCAGGATAAAATTCTGAGCAAGGAGTCCAGTTTCCAGAAGAGACCCATGCTGCCATATATTTATAAACGTTTAACATGCAGTCAAAATTAATAGGGAAATATTTCTAAGAGAGTAAGCTAAGACACAAAGTCTGTCCGATGTTAACTAAATGAAATATTCCAAGTGCAAAACAATGATGGATCAAAAACACGTCATAGAAACTTCATTCCCGGACAAACTTTCCGCACATGTTTCTGACAGGTCACCAAGACAATGGTCAGATTAAAAGTTATCACCACTCTAGCACAAATATCTGAGTTACATGGACATACACTACCCAAGTGAAATATCTCAGCACACTGACATGGCCAATAGTCAGTATGAGATATCTGCCAAATCATAAAAGAGAAAGACTTGCCTGCAATGGTCAATGTAACATCAGGTATTTTATGATCCCCTTCAAGGTTTTGAAGCATGACAAAAGCTGAAAGTGCTAAATCAATATTCTTTTTTCTTTCAAATCGGTTAACAGAGAGAAAATTCAACCTACACCAAAGGGAGCAAATAAGAGGTTAGAGTCCAAACAGTGGCAAGCAAAGAATACATAATCAATAACATGTTGACACAGTCTTCTAAGAATAAAAAAATGATAGGAGACACAAAGTGATATACGAATATGTCTTTTACTTATTGGAACGGGGCTCATCAAACTGATCCACATTGACTGCTGGATATAGGACAGCTGGAAAAATTTCTCGTGCACAAAGACGCTTGAAAGTATTTGCAAAGGTAGTAGAAGTAAATTTACTATTAACAAGTATCAAATCTGCCATTCCTGCATTTCAGAAAAGCAAGTAAAATAGATGTATAGATAGATATTGCAAAAGAAAAATAAAATATGAATGCAAAACATATTTCACATGAGCAGCAGAAAACAAGAATCTGGAATCAAACCAGTTGTTATTTCTTCAACAAAGTCTATAGGTTTCCTATATATCCTCCTCAGAAGAGTTGAATGTTGAGCCAGTAACAAATCCGGGAAGTGACAATAGAATAAAACCTGGCAAAGAAGTGTAATACATGAAACAACTATAGTGTAAGGAATGGCATATAAGAGTTGATTTTAAATAATAAATACCTTTGTTGACCCTTTAAGTTTCAAAATTGGGACGACAACAGAAACTTGGTCTGCTATTATAACATCAAATGATGACCAATTGAGAAGCAAACAAAGTGCAACAAAAATACATCGCACATATGCACATAATGCATGAAGACGGTAGAAAATATGGCGAGGTAGGAAATCCCCATACACTGTAACTGGAAAGGTACCTGGAGAGCCAAATAAAATAAACATGGTATATCACATGATTTGGTTTATAACAGAGGAAAACAGGCAAAAGCAAAGAGAGCATTTGGAAAGCAGAATAAAAGCATCAAGATGTGGAAGAAATAAACTTCAAAAGGATGTCCATGACCCAGTAGTAATTCCTGTTACCGTCTCTCTAGATGTGTAAAGAATATATTATTCATCCAAAACAAAAGAGAAAAATATATATGCCAATAGGACTGCCATGTACACATATTTGAGACATAACAAGAGCCATGACATACCTTCACAACTATCCAACACAACGAATTCCTGAAATAGAATTAAAGCAATCCAGATTGAGCTCAAAATGGGACAAAATCTATTATTAACAGAGAGGAATTACTACTTACAGTATCTGCTTAATCAACTAGGAATTAAGTGTAATGGGCACAGTACTTTTAAAAGTTCCAAAAACTAGCAAATACTATCCTACAATTCAGAGTATTAGTTCAAATGAATTAGCAAGATACTGAAATCAATTTTGTTCCCAGCCAATCCTATCATTTTACTCTTAGATGACTCGTGTGAATTAGCTTATACCACACTAATTTACTAACATTAAACTCAGGTTCAGTGCCTTTTCAAACACATTTTTAGTCAAAGCGCCAGACATATTTTCCTTATCCTGTATAAAGAATTCAACAGTAGAGTCACATACAACTAATAAAAGGAACTAATGCATCTAACTATCCACTTTGAACTTGCAAAAGCATATATACATAGCACATAAGACACAAAACGAGCAAAAAACAGGATTCAATGATCACATCAAAAATTAACAAAAGTATATTCAGCTTCTTCAAAACAACAAACTAATAATAACCCATTTTCATTAATCCTCTGCCCACTAATTTACTCAACCATAAACCCTACGACATCAAGATTATTAACCCACAAATATTGCATACGAGAGATACTTTAGAGAAGATAACGGATAATAATCCCAGCTCTAATTTAACTCAAGTTCAGTTTCTTATTTGCATTTCCAGATCAATCACATAAAAGTTAAAATAATGGAAAGTTACTGACCACCAAGAGTTTCCTCAAAACACCGAGTCCTATCATGGTGAGCTGTAAAAACATGAACATTGTGCCCATGGGAAACAAGTTCAACAGCCGCATCAACAATTAATCTTTCAGCTCCACCTATCAATTATTGAAACACATCCAGAAAATAAGATCAAAATTCACGGTTCTAAAATATTATTAATGAGCTACTTCAGTCTTTAAAGAAAAATTGCAAAACTAAGAGGGTCAAAATCCAATTAACTGAACATGGGTATTTCCATTAATCTAATTTTATTCCCAGCAGAAACACTAAAACAAATAATTAAACGAATAGAAAGATAATCAATGGAGGTTTAGAAACAAAATTACCGATTCCCAGATCGGGGTGTATGATGGCGATGTTAAGCTTTTTGCTTGATTTCTTCTTCTCCATTGCTTTTGCCGCTGGGTTTTGACTTGCAATTAATCGTTGTTTAGGTGGACTCGGAAGCTAGATGGGTTCGAATACAGCACAGAAAACTCATCGGAAATGAGTTGACATGATCTCTACTGAAGCGTAAAGGTTATGCAATTTGAAATTTGTACGAAACGATTTCAAAGTTAATGCTTGGTTAAATAAGTTATAATATACTTAAAAAAAAATTAAAAAAAAAAAAAAAACACCCAAACGCCCATACTATGGTAGTTTAATTTAAAATTGGAATATTTAAATAATTTTTTTTATTTCAAAAAGAAAAAAGAAACCGAGCTATTTGAGGGGTATTATGGTAGTTTCGTAAACTTCTCATTTTCCGCCTACATATTTTTCTCGACTCCCAAAGACCCGCCACGAAAATTACGCTGTGATACATTTTGACTAAATAGCGAGAGTAAACTTCACTTCACAGGGACGAAGATGACCGGAGAAGAGATATCGGGCCCTGCTGGTCCAAAGGTTCTCCGTCTCCTCTATTTCGTGGGCGCCGGATGTAAGTTACATGTGATTATTTGATACACAAAGACATATATTTATATTCTCTATAGCTTTGAATAATTTCAGTTAAATTATAATAAACTCTGATTAAATAAACAATCTTATAGTTATCTGCACTGCGGCAATCAACAAGTGGCGAGAACTGGAGCGGAAGTCTCTGCAGAAGAAACAGCAAGAGAGCAATATATTGACGGAGAGCTCGGCCAATGCGGTACAAAAAGCAGTCAAATGATAAATCTTGTTATAAAATTTCGAATTTTTATGGTAATAATGTTGAATTTGATTCATTTTCACATTTTAATTGTGTATTTTGAGTGATTTTTATAGTGTATACCTTTTAGAGATGTTAGGGTTTATGGAGCTTTCAATTTAGTCATCATGCTTTGTTGTAATTTTAATCAATAAGTTTCTGGTTACGATTTCCCCAAATTTTATTCTTGATAAGCTCCTTAAATCCGTCTAAATTACTATAATACTTCACTGGTTAAATTTGATACCACAAAATTCTTTGCTTTTTTTCTTATTTGGTATACAAATGCTTAAATTTGGAATTGAATTTGAACTTGGTAGACCATCACATATTGATTTGTTTGGATATCATATTTGACTTAAGATTTGGAATCGAATTGTTATCCCAGGAAGTTATTTACTTGATTATTCATTGAAGACTTGCCATGCACCACTGTCAACATATAGAATCAGGGAAACTGTGACTACTTCTGGAAACTTGGATTTCTAATTGGTGAAAAGAAAAGAGTTTTCTAGAAAAATTCATTTGTCACAACTTAACCAATAATAAACACACTTTAGATTTGCAATTGAATTGTTTGTTCAAGGAGTTAGTTACTTGATTATTCATTGAAGACTTGTTATGCACCACTGGCAACATAGACGTCAGAATAGATTTTGTCTTCAATTTTTTGGTAATGAAGTATTAAATTTTACTGTGATTATCACAAACTTGAGTTTGCTTAAAATATTTGGGATGCTTTCATTGGCACCAGAAAGAATCATAGTTTCCTTTCTTAACCAAACATCCTTTGTTTGGTGGTCATGTGTAAGAAAGCATTGTGTCCACCTATAAAAGGATGACACTTATGGACTGATTTATTTTTCAGTGAGTCAATCGATCATTTCCTTAATGAACTAGGAGGGCTTTTCCTATACAAAGAATGGACCTACCACTATATCTTGTCTAGCTCAGTGCTTACTTTGCTTTTGCTTTTGGTTTACTCACTGGAGGCCATGGTAAGGTAAAAACCTGGTGGCAGTGCAGAGCAAAGATGGAAGCGGGATGATTGTAGTGGAGCAGAGGAGGAATTGTCTGTTGACATCAAGTAATACCAGAATAATTGAATGATTTGGCATTATACATTATGCACTGTTATTCCCTAAGATGTGGGCAATTCTTGGTAGCCCGTTATTCCATGTATTAGATTCTTAATTTTATTTTACTTAATATTCTATAGTAGTTGGACTATTACTTTTATGTACGAAATATGATAGAAAAAAAAATAAAGTTTTATCATTTTGTTGTGTTTGACCTCATTTCCTAGGTATGCAAGTATCTTCAAGGATCGCTTTGTTTATGCAATTATTTATGGTCATGTATATTCCGTTTCATTCTTTCCAAGTTCACATTTAGGAATTCATAAAGACCATAAATATCAATGTGCTATCTTACTTTATTCAATTTTGTTATGTAAATGTAATAATGTGAAATTTTAAGTTTGGATATTTAATCCCTTTGTACAAACCGCAATAAAAGTTTTAACATCAGCGTTTTTCTTCATGATACCGATTATAAATTGAATGAAACCATTGTCATGCATATCAGTCATGTTTGGATGTTTTGCTTCTGTTTTGATGAAATTCTATATGTTTAATGTAAAGTCAGCTTCACATTTACTGCTGATTATTGAATCTTTGGTATGGTTATTGAATGTTTGGTATGGACTTAAAAACATATAATTTGCATAAAGAAAGAGTATTGGTAGCTATTTCTCAGAGTAAAGATATCTGCCGTGACAAATTGTTGTCTTTATAGAAACTGCATTTTGTAAGGAAATCCTAGAATGGTCTTTCTGTATATATAAACACTGCCCAAATTTGTCTAAAATCTTCATGAAATTCATCAAGAACTGAAATATTTCTATCAAACTTTGTAGAAACTTTCAATTCAAGTAGGTTTGCAACAGATTTCAAAACTATGGATATGTGTGTGTTGAAACAAAGTAATGGGAGATCTATGATATTATCTTAAACAAAACCCTTAAAAAAAGAGAAAGAGCAAAATAGTGTAACTAGTTGGAATTTTCAGCATTGTTTTTATTGGATCAAATAACATTTCACTTTCATCTTTCTGGAGAAAAAGAACAATGAGGAGAATCCACATCGACTGATGTCTATACCCATATAGCTAGAAAATTTGTCAGATGCACTTAAGACCATGAAATTCACATGCCTTATCCTTTTCATTCCATCATTAATGGCAATACCGCAATAGTAATCATCAAAGACAAATGTCATGAGGAATAATTCAGCTTTTTTTTTTCCACTTTTTTTGTTAGCACTGATAAAATATCTCTATGTTACATCATAAAAGAGAGGTAATGTTCATTTGTTTCTTGTAGAGGGGATAGAACCTCGAGAACCACTCATGAATACTCAAAATAGAAGTCAAGAAACAATAATGTCATTTAGGCATCTTTATTTCTTTGTCATATGATAAAAGGAAAGTTAGAAGCCTATGGAAAATTCTACTCATTGATATTCCTGTGGTGACGGTTTGCTTTGCATTTCTGAAAATTCTGGCTTCCTTACGCTGTTATGGCCACGGTGGAGGTGGAGGCGATGGTGGCCAAACTGGAGGTGTGTGTGGTGGTGATGGTGGCGGTCATGGAGGAGGTCATGGGGTGGTCATGGTGGAGGTCATGGTGGAGGCGATGGTGGTGGTGTTGGTGGATGTGGGGGTGGTGGATGTGGAGGAGGTGGCAGTTGACATGGAGGTATGCTCATCATTTGTATTTTTGAGCTTGGTGGAAGATTGTAATGTTCTCGTGTCTCCATAAAATTATGACAGTTAAATAATAAACTAATGCTAGATATTCCAGCAAATTTCCCTTCTCAAATGATATTACATCCTTTTTTATTAATTACCAAATCACTTACCGTGTCGACCAAAATTTTGAAGTGTTACTTGAAAATTGAAACGTCCTTTAATATTTGTCATTTTATATGTCATGTAGTTCTATTGATAAGCAGATAAGACTAAGGGAAGTTTGTTTTACGTTTTTATCTTCATAAGAAGAGGTAAAAATTTGGGCATATTAGTTAATTAGTTTGTATCATTGTTTTAAAAACCGGACCGGACTGGACTGGTCGATCCAACTGGTTGGATCGGGAACCGGTCACGTGTCCGGTTCGAGTCAACCCTGAAACCGTTATAATGCAATGGATTGCGTTAAACCGTTTAAAAACCAGATATTTTCAACGAACCATTGGTCCAACCAGACCGATTGATAAACCGGTCCAATTAAAAATCCCTAAACTTAATACACACAGCCTTCTCATTGCGTTCAGTTCATCTCTTTCAGTGTTTCTCAGTTTCTTACAAAAATTTTCTCAGTTTCTTAAGCAAATTTCTTAGCTTCTTCTCTTCTCTGCAAAAATTTATTAGCTTCGTCTCTGTTGTCTGTTCTCTGCAAAGATTTCTCTCTGAAATCCCACCCAAATCGCATCTGAACTCTATGAAATCGACGATGACGTCTTCCTCCCTCGCCGGAAATCGACGACGATAGCTCCGTTCCTCGCTGGAAATCGACGGCGACAACTTCATTCGTTGACGACAGCTCCATTCTTCGATTCAGATAATAAACACGCCATTCTTCGATCTAGCTTCAATAATCAATAATTTCAATTTCATTTTTGTAACAATGTCATCTCTACAAATATTCAGGAGGTCCTATATAGGATCTGTGAACAAACGAGCAGTCTATGGACCGTGTACTTCATCCTTTTGATTTTTATGCATCATATATGCCTCTGATGATTAATACATAATGTGGTATCAAATGAGTGTAGCATTATTTGTCAACTGATATCTGGAATATTTTTTTTAACACATTCAAGTGGCATTTGCGTTATATGTGTAGGAATGTTTTAAGCTCATGTTGAATTTTTTACCCTGCTATTTATCATATGCATTATCACAGTGACGACTGTCTTGATTATAGCTCATGTTGAATTTTTTACCCTNTCCATATAGCTAGAAAATTTGTCAGATGCACTTAAGACCATGAAATTCACATGCCTTATCCTTTTCATTCCATCATTAATGGCAATAGTAATCATCAAAGACGAATGTCATGAGGAATAATTCAGCTTTTTTTTTTCCACTTTTTTTGTTAGCACTGATAAAATATCTCTATGTTACATCATAAAAGAGAGGTAATGTTCATTTGTTTCTTGTAGTGGGGATAGAACCTCGAGAACCACTCATGAATACTCAAAATAGAAGTCAAGAAACAATAATGTCATTTAGGCATCTTTATTTCTTTGTCATATGATAAAAGGAAAGTTAGAAGCCCATGGAAAATTGTACTCATTGATATTCCTGTGGTGACGGTTTGCTTTGCATTTCTGAAAATTCTGGCTTCCTTACGCTGTTGTGGCCACGGTGGAGGTGGAGGCGATGGTGGCCAAACTGGAGGTGCGTGTGGTGGTGATGGTGGCGGTCATGGAGGAGGTCATGGGGTGGTCATGGGGGTGGTCATGGTGGAGGCGATGGTGGTGGTGTTGGTGGTTGTGGGGGTGGTGGATGTGGAGGAGGTGGCAGTTGACATGGAGGTATGCTCATCATTTGTATTTTTGAGCTTGGTGGAAGATTGTAATGTTCTTGTGTCTCTATAAAATTATGACAGTTAAATAATAAACTAATGCTAGATATTCCAGCAAATTTCCCTTCTCAAATGATATTACATCCCTTTTTATTAATTACCAAATCACTTACCGTGTCGACCAAAATTTTGAAGTGTTACTTGAAAATTGAAATGTCCTTTAATATTTGTCATTTTATATTTTATGTAGTTCTATTGATAAGCAGATAAGACTAAGGGAAGTTTGATTACGTTTTTATCTTCATAAGAAGAGGTAAAAATTTGGGCATATTAATTAATTAGTTTGTATCATTGTTTTAAAAGCCGGACCGGACTAGTCGATCCAACTGGTTGGACTGGGAATCGGTCACGTGTTTGGTTTAAGTCAACCCTGAAACCGTTATAATGAATAGACTGCATTAAATCGTTTAAAAACCGGATATTTTCAGCGAATTGTCGGTCCAACCAGATCAACTGATAAACCGGTCCAATTAAAAATCCCTAAACCTAATACACGCAGCCTTCTCATCGCATTTAGTTCATCTCTTTCAGTGTTTCTCAGTTTCTTACAAAAAATGTCTCAGTTTCTTACGCAAATTTCTTAGCTTCTTCTCTCTTCTCTGCAAAAATTTATCAGCTTCGTCTCTATTGTCTGTTCTCTGCGAAGATTTCTCTCTGAAATCCTACCCAAATCGCATCTGAACTCTCTGAAATCGATGACAACGTCTTCCTCCCTTGTCGAAAATCGACGACGTCTTCCTCCCTCGCCGCAAATCGACGATGACAGCTCCGTTCCTCGCTGGAAATCGACGGCGACAACTCCATTTGTTGACGACAGCTCCATTCTTCGATCCAGATAATAAACACGACATTCTTCGATCCAGCTTCAATAATCAATAATTTCAATTTCATTTTTGTAGCAATGTCATCCTACAAATATTCAGGAGTCCTATATAGGATCTGTGAACAAACGAGCAGTCTATGGACCGTGTACTTCATCCTTTTGATTTTTATGCATCATATATGCCTCTGATTATTAATACATAATGTGGTATCAAATGAGTGTAGCATTATTTGTCAACTGATATCTGGAATATTTATTTTAACATATTCAAGTGGCATTTTGCGTTATATGTGTAGGGATGTTTTAAGCTCATGTTGAATTTTTTACCCTGCTATTTATCATATGCATTATCACAGTGACGATTGTCTTGATTATAGCTCATGTTGAATTTTTTACCCTGCTATTTATCATATGTATTATCACATGGCATCGGGTTCCTCTCTTTTTTGGGATAAAAACATTAAGAAGTGGTTTCTTTTGATGTTTCCTTGATATCAGGTTAATTGAGTGACTTTCTGCTCCTGGTGTGCTGTTGGTCTTCAAGGAGATAACCAGTTTTGCGGACTGAAGTAATCTGCAGAAAATTCTATCAATTTTTTTTTAATTTTTTTATCTTGTTCTCTGTTCTTCATTTGTAGTTTTCATTAATTACTTATTTGTGTATCTTACTAGTTAGAGTTAATATAGTAATGCAATATGTTACTTTCAAGCACTACCAGTTATCAACTGTAGCTGCAAATTTTTACATGTATGTTACTTTATGGCTATCAGTAGCTTAGTTGAACATCTGGTCCTATCTAAGATTGTGAAGAATAGCTTATAATCCCTATACATTTAAGTTAAATTACAAGTTTTAAATTATGATTTTTATTTTTTACTAAAATTTGTGTAGATGGTGGTAATGGTTATGATGATGATGATGGTGATGAATTTTGATGCTAGTGTGTGAAGCTCAATCAACATGGAGACGGATCAAAGAAAAAACACTTGCATCAAATGTTTTATTATTAATTAGTATGTATTTTGACATTTAATATGTAAATACAACATCATGTTTGGATTTGGACTTTGAATTTTTGTTAAATACTTAAATTATGTTAGGATTGTTGTTGAATTTGAACTTTGAATCATGTTGGATTGGACAAAAATTGATTTTGTATTATTAAAAAATAGAAATCTAAAAAAAAAAAAAAAATTTAAAAAATGTGCTGACGTCATCATGATGTGTGATGACATCATCGGTTGAACCGTGACTCTGCCATCAGAGCGGGTTGCCCGTCGGTCCGGTTTTTAAAACAATGGTTTGTATACCAATTACTGATCGCATAGTTTATAGCTTAATGTATTTTCTGTTTATTTTTCAATATGAAATAATATATAAGAGTAAATGAAGTCAAATTTATAATATAAGATAGGGGTTTTTATTTTTAAATTTAACACTTTAAATAAGCTCAAAAGAGCTTATGAGAGAAATTTATCATAAGCACTTATCTTAAATTTCATAAGCACTTTTGAAATAAAACTAAATAATCTAAAAAAAAATTCAACAATTGTTTATAGCTCTAAATAAGTTTTTTGGGCAAATAAATAACGCAACCAAAAGACTTATATAAACCATTCCACCACAACTTGTGACTTACCAAGAAAATAATAGTCATATACAAGTCGATATACACATAACACTTAACATAAATTTGTACTATCATTAGGGTGTGTTTAGTTCAGAGAATATTATATTACTAGAAATATTATACTAATAAGAAGATATATTATTTTAAAGATTACTGAGAATATCTACGGAAATGTGTTTGGTTAGGTTGGAATAAATTAGTGGGTATATTATATTTATATGTTTAGTTGGGAAGAATAAATTGGTGAATATGTTATATAAATTATTCAATTGTCCCTCTATTTTACTATTATTATTATTATTTTAGATTATTTTTTAACCTTTACATTTGTTAATTTAGCCACTTCCACAATAAAAGTTTAAAAATTAACTAAAGCACCCTAGCCACCCAAGAGGACAACCAGCGGTCGGCCACCATCGTCGAACGGCAGTCGCCGAAACAGCACACGATTGGTTGGATCTGGCCGGTCATGCACCAATATGGATGTTTCCAACCAAATCTACAACCAAAGATCTAGCCGTTGACAGCCCAATTGTGGTCGTTATTAACAACCAGATTGGTGCATGACCGATCGGTCATGCGCCGTTCTGGCCACGTCAGTTAACGGTGGCTATCACCAGCAGTAGCGGTGGCTGACAATGGTTGCTGGCAGGCAGTGCTGATCTTGGGTGGCCTACAATTTGTTTTAAGTACAAGGGTATTACTATCCAAAAACTTAATTAATTAGGGGTAAGCTTGTAATGACAAGTTTATGTGAATTAATTCAAAATAAGGGTTTTTTTGTCCAAAAAAAATTATTAATAAGGGTAAAATTATAACAAAATTAACATTATCAAATAATCTTAAAAATACCTAAGAAAATAGAAGTAATCAGATTACCACCTATATAACCAACAATAATTATTATTGGTTTTGGAAGATTACCAAAATATTATATTACTTAACTAAACATAGTAATCTAAGTAATATAAGATGATATTACCTCAATAAGGGAGGATAACTACCAACCAAACGCTCCTTTAATAATATGATACTTGATCAAATCCTGTCTTTATATTTTAAGAGTAACATCCGTTTTGTTCCCTGTGGTATGGCCTAACAAAACAAGGTCCATTAGAATCTAATAGTAACATTTAGGTCCTTATCAACAAGAATTAGTTTTTTGAAATTTTATTTGCAAAGTCTAAAATACCCTTAATTTGTTAACTTTTCTTTTCTTTTAATTAATGAAGTTGTTCTAGGATTTTACTAGAATTGTCAGTTAGCATCCGTTTATGTTTTTTTAATGGCTCTATTAAATTTTTAATGTCATTTACATAAGAAAAGATTAGGGGTATTTTAGACTTCTACAAAAAAAATAAAAAAGTGGCACCTTATAATTCATCAGTTTACATGGGTCCTGTCTGTCCAATAATAGATTCCACCTAATCAAGCAAATCACAAACTCTCACGTGGGATTAGTGAGACGAGTTAGTGAGAGGGGTTAGTGAGGTTAGTATTATTGATTATCATAAGGATGAGAGTTTGACCCGCCCCATTCGGGATGGAGTTTACCAAGAAAAGTTGGTTGCGGGCACGGGGTGGGTGTGGGGATGACCTTGAACCCACCCCCGCGCCTGATTTATTACATGTTTCTCTAACCATGAATGTTTTACACAACTTTGAGAAAACAAAAAATTCAAATATACTCTAGCATCTATATTTATTACTAGGAATAATTCATATGAAGCTCTGCTAATCTGGAAAATCCAATTGGAATGCTTGATAAAATCCATATTCTTAGTGTGTGTTTAGTTAGAGAAAAACTAATTAAACTTAAAGTTACAACAATTTCAAACTAATCCTTACCATCATTAGAAATTTTAGGATAAAACTTAAAATTCACTTTTTATTTTCGTCCATTTTGCGTTACATACTAATTATATAATGCGAATTTTATTTTTTTCAGTTTGATTGATTACATATATATATGGATAGTTGTATTTATTCATCTTATTATGCCATAATTTAATAAATCGAGATATTTGCTTTACACGTTTATAAATATAGGTAAGCATAAAATTCATTCACCATATCTTTTTAACTTGAAGTGGAGTTGGCAACTATCTGATTCATTTTCAACAAATAAATATTCAATTAAACTTACATGTAAAATCAAAATAATTATAAATGATGAATCAATAACATATCGTACCAACTCAAACTCAAAACAAAAAACTATGTCTTCTTGTAAAAGGAAAAATATTAAATATAAATATGGATATCATAATAATGTAACTTATTGTTGGTAAGAAATAATATATTGTAGGCTCCATTGCTTGCACCAATATTTACATTTTTAAAAGAATAGATCTTCTATCATAATTATCTCTATCACACATGCTTGCACCAATATTTACAACACCTTCTCCCTGCATATTATAAATTGAAATATTTTATAATATGATAAGATATACAATAAACTTGGAATTATTTTTAGAAAATTACTTAATTACCTTTGCAATGTTTCTAAAGAATGTGATAGAGCTTTAATGAGATCTGCTAAAACCAATTGAGATTGGGCCACAGCTCCGTCATACCGGGTTGGGGGTGGGGGCATCCCCCATTAAAACCATCTCTGGATGCAGGGGTGGGTGTAGGGGGCAGGTTCGAGTTCGGTGGCTGGGGTCCCCGACCCGCCTTGTGCCCATCCCTATATTATAAGGACGAAAATGTTACTATTAAATTCTACTGGACCTACGTACTTAGGTCATGCCTGAGGACCAAAATGGAGTTAACATAAAATAAAAATAAAAATGAATAGTGTACGTAGAGTTACTATTGGCTAGCCTTGTATAAACAAAAAGTTCTGCCACCTTTCACAAGCAGCAACCTCAACTAGCGACACGTGCACTTGAGCTGACACGTGTCAAGCATGCTGCTTTTGCATGCATGCAAAACTTCAAACTTCATTTAATAATATGTTTGTCCTCTTTCTCTAACTTTCATTATCATCTTATTTAATTGAATTACCTTAATATATATATATATATATATTTGGGATACTACATTACTGTATGTATATTTTTCCATTTTTAAAAGAATAGATCTTCTTTAAAATAAACTTAATATACCATCACCATATGAATAAATGTCTTAATGTTAATAACTTTCATATTATTTTTAGGATTTTAGGTGAGTGATACTGATGATACATATTTAATAAAACAAAAATTATGATCTCATTAAACAAAAATATCCACATAAATAATACCAAATTTTGCTTACCAATAATATCTACTTTACATCTCACCTATTATTATATTTCTAATAAAATCATATTCATATATTTATCAAATACCCAAAGAAATATAATTTAATTTTTATTTCTTTCAAATTATTTGAAACTAGAAATGGGTAAATAAGAAAAAGTAAAAGGATTCTTACTGTAAAGTGCAAACCAACAGTTTACGACGATACAAAGATCCATACAAATAGTTATTAGTTGACTGTTCAAAATGTCAAAATCATGTGAACTAATTAATCTAATTATCAAATCTCTTTAATATATATTATTTTCAAAACCATTTATCAAGATATTCATTTAATGAAAAATAAAAATTAAACATATGTCATATATATATACACACATATGTCAAAATTAAACATATGTATAAATACATATATCGAGACTTTATTAGACCCATTAAGACTTTCATTTACTAATTAAACACTAAAACCTAACCCTAATACGTTGAAAAGGCAGCATTTTGATCAAATTGAGGGATTAATTGCCACGTTGACGGTCCTGCTCCAGCCCCCACCGCCGGACTCCGAACTGCAACTCGGCGGCAACGATCAAGAACTCCACAGCCTGCTGTGTGGTGAGCAATTCCACGACTCTTCTCACAGTTCTGAGGCGGAGATCGTCGGCCTTCTGGACTACGCTCACCAGCTGCCCGATCTTCTCGTCCAGGTTCGCCCGCTCTCCCATTAAGTCAGTCGCTCCGTCTTGCCACTCCGATAACTCGTCCGTTATCGCATTCTCTTCCTTCACGGTCTCGCATTGTAACTCACTCACCCGCCTGTATTTTCCAAAATCATTTCTCTTCAACTTTCTTCAACTAGCTAAAATGCCGTTTTCTTATAAATTTCTAATATTTTTTAACCAAATTTCAATATATTTAGCCCTTTTTTTCCTTAAATTTCTAATATTTTTTGAAATTTTTTAATAAATTATATACTATTGTAAATCACTTCTTTTAGAGAAATTATTTATTGTTGCTTATGTAATGTTATTGGAATAAATAGGGCTTTCTTATTGTTGTTTTTCTCTATATATAGTAAATAAATAATAATATAATTTATGATTCACAATTACAATATAAGAAAAAGGAACAAAATAAATAATTAATTAATTTTACATGTTACCACTGAAATTTAAAAATTAATTTCAATTTTAATGCTAAAATTCATCAATTGTAGAAAACAAAACCATTTTCGAACTAAAAATATATACATAAAACAATGAAAACAAGAAAAACAAAAACATGAAATTCTATGCGTTAACTCACCTGAATTGGCTGGGAGAGAGGTCACCGAGGTCACCGGTTCTCTGACCACGAAGAATATCAACAATATGAGACTCAAAGAGAATGCTAGACTCAGTGTAAATCAAATGGAACACCGTGGTGGGTCGCCACCCGGCAATCCAATGGAGGGAGCGCTCGAGGGAGGAAGCCCAAGGGGCGGCGAAGATGTTGAAGATGTCGCGTTCGGCGGCGGCGGACTTGGCCCTGTAGTACTCTGCGTAGTGGGTCATGGTCTTGGCGACCAAGTGCTCCAAGTCCCAGTGCTGGTCGGGAGTGGTGGGAGCCCTCGGAGCCGTGGCCAGCTGGCGCACCAGCTGGCTCAAGTGGTCGCACCAGGTGTTGTAGAAGGTGTTGAAGCTGGTCATTCGGTAGATTTGGGTGTGAATTTGAGTGGGTTTTTCAGAGAGAAAGAGGAGAGAACAAGTGGTTGGGGTTTTGGGTGTGGGTTTTATATATGAGTACTGTGAGGAGGAGGAAATGAATAGGGTTGAGTTGAGTTGGGTGACAAACGAGTAGAAGGCGCGTGCTGAGTACGTGGAGGAAGATGATGAAATATGGACGGCGAATTTGTTTAATCTTTTATGTCCTTTATTTAGTTTCTTCTCTCTTTTCTCTCTGTTGTTGGGTATCGTTACCTCTGGATCAAGCATTTGATACTGCCAATGACTGTTGGATGAGTTGGAGGGTCTATCCCGGTAATTAGTCGTCTTAATAAGTAAAAGCAATGTATGCATATGAGAAAAAAGAGTATCGGAAAAAAAAAAAAAAAAAAAAAAAGTAGTGATACGTGTATAAATTATGTTTACAAATTATTGTATAGAAACAGATGTAAATGTAACACAACTATTTTATTGCAACATCATTTACCTATATAAATTAACATTAATTGAGTTGGTTTTGTATATAAGTTCATTTATTCATTTTGTGTAACATCAGTTTATATAAAAAAGTTTATAAACCTAATATTTTTCGACAAAAATTGAGATAAAAAAAATAGGAAAAAATATAATTTCATCCTTAACTTTTGGTGGAAGTTAGAGGTAAAAAAAATGGGCTGGGTTAGGCAAGTCAGCCCTAACCTGGCCGGCCTCGACCTAGGCTCTACCCAGCCTGACTTAAGGGCGTACCAGGTTTAGCCCGACCCAAGTATCCCTGTCGGGCTGGTTGGGCCTTCATAGGCCAACTCGACGACGTAACAGGTCATTTTTTTAAAAAAAAAAAAAAAAACCATCCAACCCGTCAAGTTGGCGGTTGGAAACCTGACAGGTTGGCTGTTGGGTGGGTTGCTTAGCAAAAACCTATTTTATCTTTCAAATATAACCGTTTTATAGTAGTTGGAGGGGTTTTTTTGGTCATTTTTTTTTCCCATTTTTCTCTATAAATAGGGCATAAACTTCTCATATTTCCTCACATCTCAAATTCTCTCATTTTCTTTTGCTCTTGCTTTAAAAATTTCTCAAATCTCTTTGATGTCAATTTGATCTCATTTTAATTTTTATTAGTTTTTACAATTTTCAGTTCATATTTCCAAATTTCATTCTTCTTCTTTAATTCCTTTATATCCATTTTTTTTTTTTTTTATCTAGAATTGATAGATATTTCCATCCCACCATCAATTTTGATGATGAAAAAAATTATCCTAGCTCAAAAATTTCATTTTTTGGTTGAAAGTGATTGGCATATAACTAGAAAATTTCATTCTTTTCTTTAAACCTTTTATCTTGCCACTTTAAAACTTTCTATTATGTATTATCCTACTAATCCATTGATAATACATTCAATTTAAAAAAAATTATCTGCTCGAAACAGAAACAATTAAATTTTAGTAGGACCAATAGAAGCAATGGAATTTAAATTTAAAAAATATTGGAAATCCATTCATTTTCTTTATTGTTTAGCTATCATATTTGATCCTAGCTTAAATTAGCAGGTTTAGAAAAATATTTTAGACATGTTAAGTGAAAATTTACAAGAAGAAACGTATGCTAATCAACTAGGACAGATAAGAGAGTGTTTTTGAGAGGTATATTTGCAATATGAAAGTAAGTATGGGAACTAGCAAATAGGCATAATACCTGAGGAAGAACTAGAGAAGACACAAATGAAGACTTCAACTCCTAGAGAGAAATTAATAGGCAGAAAAAAACCTGAACTCGAAGCATAACCTCCTTTTCAGAAGCATCAACAACGAATATAATGTCCTCCATGCAGCTGCAGAGTAATGAGCTTCACCAATATTTAGGAACTCCTAACTTGCTACCAGCAGATCTACAACAAAGAGTCAACTTTGATGTCTTAGAATATTGGAAAACCAGAAAATATACTTTTCGGTACTATCAAGACTTGCCCTGGATGTTTTCTCTGTTCCTATCTCTACCGTCTCATCCGAACAAACATTTAGTGCAAGTGAAAATTTTTAAATGAAATGAGGACTAAACTTTTATCGAAATTGATTGAAGTCCTCACATGTCTTTGAGATTAGGAATGGTCGCGCCATCAGGATCAATACGAGATTGTCAACGATACTTTAATAGAATTATTTCAATTTTGTAATTTAGATGAGACATATGAGGGGGTCCTAGTCAACCTTCAAATTAGTTGTTTTGTAATTTGTAAATTAACTGTCAATTATTACACTTTTTTTTCCTTACTAAGTTTTTATCTCAATTGAGTTTTTCTTGATAAGGTTTTTAACAAGGCAATAACTGTTGTAATTTCTTATTTCTTATTTTATTTTTTGATAAATGAATAAATATAATTTTTCTTATATTACAATTTAATTGTATTAAAATTGAATTAATATTTGAAATGTTAATTAAAAAAAATTATTTTAATTGAATTGATATTTGGAAAGCTAACTAAAAAAAATGATACAAGAGAAAAAAATTAAAAAATTAAAAAATATTTTTTTGCCAGGCCGGACCGCACAAAAATCCATTGGGTTAGGGTTGGTGGGCCAGGTCTGGCTGACCCTTTGGAACAAAGAGGTGGGCCTAACCTGAAGATGAAATCCATTTCCAAGAAACTAAAGTGAGCGTAACTTCATTACTACTACCATAAAGGAAACTATTAGGTGAAAAGATTAAAGTGCAGTAACACATGCTTCTAACAAGATTAAATGCATTTAACTTCAACAAATTCCATATAACATCCCCTTTATACGGGTGTTACTGCCCTTTTAAAAACACAACGAAAAGAAGCAAACTTTGAACAACAAAATGCGTTTCTTTGGTAAGAGATAAGAGAGGATGAAGGACACCAGTGGTGGAGTCGCCCACGAGTACGACAGGAGATTTAGGATTTGGATTCGATTTGGATCTTCTTTAGAGTGAAGAAGAAGATTGAAAATGCAGTTTGGAGATTGAAGGATGTAGGGAGCAAAGAAGCCCGATTGAAGATGCATAATTGCAATATGTGATATTTTTTTTTATTTTTAAGGATTTAAGTTTTAAATGACTTTACCATTGCTATTCCCTTGCCATCGTGAGTGAGGGGTTGAAAGCAGTTTTTCAATTCTAAAAGAGAATGTGTTATGAATTTGTCAAAGTAGTCCTTCAAGTGGGTTCTTAGAATTCAGTCTTTAGGCATTTTAGTAGTGTTTGCAGATCATGAGTTAGTGGTCAAAGTTGTTGCTATTTTTTAGTCCATTTTTCGTTGATGTATTGCCTATTAAAAGGGCTATTAGTTAATTGAATAAGAGACACGAGAAAAAGTCTTTTCTCCAACTTACTCTGTTTTTGACCTTTATTAAAAGTGCCTTTGTCTTTGTGCCTTTTTTTTTTTAGTCTTCAATTTGTGACAGTGGTATCAGAGCCACCGAGAGTGAAAGTGCAGCAGCAACAACTCCATTTATTGCAGTAGCAGTTTATTCATGGCCTCTGAAAAACTTTGTGCAACCGACTATTCCACGCTTTGATGGTCATTATGACCATTGGAGCATGATAATGGAAAATTTCATGCGCTTTAAAGAGTATTGGCAGGTGATTGTTGCTGGGGTAGCAGAACTAGCAGCCGGTACAATGTTGACGGATGCGTAGAGGACAGAGTTAGAAGCACTGAAGTTGAAGAATTTGAAGGCGAAGAACTACTTTTTCCAACCAATTGATCGTTCCATATTGGAGACAATCATTTGCAAAGACACCTCCAAGCAAATTTGGGACTCTATGAAGATAAAATATCAAGGATCAGCAAGGGCAAAGAGGCAGAAGCTTCAAACTTTTCGGTTTGAGTTCGAAATGCTTTTGAATGAAATCATGAGAGTTTGTTGCAGATTAATTTTCTTGGACAATGGCAATTGTCAACAAGATGCGGATCCACAGAGACAAGACGGAGGATGTTACCATCATTGAGAAGATTCTTCGATCCATGACACCAAAATTCAATTTTTTGTTTGTACTATAGAGGAATATAATGATATTGATGAACTTTCAATTGAAGAATTACAAGGCTTGTTACTGGTTCATGAGCAGAAAATTAACCAGCAGGAGAAAGATAAGCAAGCATTGAAGGCCTCAACTAACAACCATTCTTCTACACCAAATAAAGAAAGAGGTAGAGGCAGGGTAAACAAGGATCACAAAAGCCCGTACTAGACCTCCGAAGATAATCAATTCCATGATTCTCAAGGGAGAGCAAGAGGTCGAGGAGGCATCATTCAACTGTCATCAGGCCAAAGTCGAAAGACAAATCCAATGTTGAGTGCTTCAAATGTCATAGGTATGGCCATTATCGTTCTGAGTGTCGTACGAATTTAAATTGTGGAGAAAAATCCAACTTTGCAGAGAAGGAAGAAGAAGTGTCTTTATTGATGGTTTGTCATGCCAAGGAGGAAACCCACAACAATTTGTGGTACTTAGACACAGGATGCAGCAATCACATGTGTGGAGACAAATCTACAATCTCTTATTTGGATGAATCCTTTCGTGATAGTATGAAGTTTGGTGACAATTCTAAAGTCTGTTATGGGCAAAGAGAAGGTAACAATCCAAACCAAGGGAAACTATGTTCAGACTATCTCTAATGTTCTTTTTGTTCCAGATTTGAGAACAAATTTACTTAGCGTTGGTCAGCGTCAAGAAAAGGGGTATGAAATCTCTATCAAAGACGGAGTCTGTAGAATTGAAGATGCAAAATTGGGCCTATTTGCTCAAGTCAACATGACATCCAATCGAATGTTTCTGATGTATCTCCACAACACTACACATTCATGCTTCTCTGCGAAATTGAAGGAGGAAGCTTGGTTATGGCATTTTCGCTAAGGACATCTAAATTTTGGTGGCTTAAAGACGTTGCAACAGAAAAATATGGTGACTGGCCTTCCCAAATTCTCAAGTCCTTCTCAAGTTTGTGAAAAATGTGTTGTTAGCAAACATCTGCTACTGTATATCATAAGAACCAATTGTGTCGTCGGTTCAAAGACATTATGTTTTGTATACATATGTTAATATATATATTTTGTATATATAGTTTATCTTATCTATTGAAGATAGTGTTCTTATTTCACATGTGGTTTATTACTTCATTTATATATATTTATTACTTGTGAAATATCCCGATGATACAAATCTTTAGAAGATCAAAATCATCAAAGTATTCCCTGCATAAGTAATATTAATTAGACAATAATATTACATAGTAAACATGTTGAATGTCTTTGTAGAATATCATGTGATGGTATTAGTGTGGGTGATTATAAAAGTTATATCACTAGGGCATTAGCATGGATAAGCGGTTAGTGAACTGTTTATCGAATATGGTCATTTATGATGAATCACATGGACATTTAAAATGTAGTCAATAATTTATCATAAGATCATACTAGTGTATTATTAATCCTTAGACCTGAGATATTACGGTTGGATTCTGCATAAACGCATATGGTTCATATGGTGTATAAACACAAGGCTAATCATGTCATGTGTTAATAAGCCGATTTGACTATGTGTTATTTATGTGTGGAGACAAGTGATAGTCAAGATGAGATTCGTTGATTTGGTATAGATTGATATCAAGTTCCTAGACAAATGTCAAGATACATTGGAAAAGGGAAATCTCCGATCGGGGTATATAAAATATTACTTGAAAGGTGTTTCATGGTGACACGTTCCATATGTATTGATTGTTAATTTGATACTCCCTCCATTTCAATATAAATGACTTTTTAAGTTTGTACACAACTTTTAATGAAAAAATTTCATCTCTCTCTCACCTGACTTTTTTCTCTGATTTTGCAAGGTGGGAAAAGCTTTGCTCTGATTTTGCAGGTGGGAAAAACTTTCCCGCTGCACACATTGAATTATTTAAATAATTTAATATATATATTGTCATTTTCTCTCTCCTATTATCACAGACAAGACAAGCGACATTTAATTTGAAAAAAAATTACACTCTCAAAATGACATTTAAAAAAAAAACAGAGGGAGTATAAAATTAAGATAAGGATTTTGATATATCATGAATCCATTCTTAATTCGGATTAGATAACGGAAGGATTTGATTATACAATGCGTATGATTATAAAATGGTTTGTTAGAGTATATCTTCATTGTGACTTAGGGTTATAGAGCATTGTTAGATGTCTACCATAATCTGTGAGAGTTTTGTTCATAAAGATTTATGACAAAACATATCGAAATAGACTATCATATTGGGCCCACGGCTAGACCATAGTGAACTTAAGAGGTCACACATAAAAACTAAGGAGAATGGAGAATGGAGAAATAACCAAATAGAGTTGATTATCTAAGGTTGGCTAGCACCTACCAAAGGTAATAAAGTTATTTATATTATTATATTTGAATTAGATTCAATAGAGGGTTATATTAGTTATTATGAACAATTTAAGAGTTAAATTGCTAATTGGAATTAAATAAAATTCGAATTCATAATTAATCATTTTCTTTATATTAAATTGGATTTAATAATGGGTTGTAATTGTAAACATATGAACAATTTAAGGGTTAAATTGTTATGTAAATAATTTAAGAGTTAAATTGTTAATTGTGATTAAATGTTAATCCAATGTTATTATTTAAAGAAGTTTAACAACTTCATAATAATTATGGAATTATTTACAACTCCAAAAACAATTATAGAATTGTTTAAGGAAGTCCAAAACAATTATTGAATTGTTTACAAGGCTACATATATAAAGAAAATAATATATCAATTTTAGAGAGAGATCAAAATTTCTAAGAACCCTAAATGTCTCTCTTGGCCTAATTCTTCTTTCACCTTAGTGTGGATACTCTTTTATTTAATTTCTCTTGAAATTAAAAGTCTCCAAGGTTGCTAAGGACTTAAAGTTACAAGTTATACTTTACTTGTTTTCAATTTGATTGAATTTTTAATTTTTTTTGTAAAATATGAATATACATGTTATAGTATCACATGCATCATTCTCCATGTATTCCATCTTTCAACATTGCGATCCTTTTTCGAAAGGGAAATCATGGAGAGCAAAGAAAGCATTGGAGCTGGTGCATTCCAACCTTTGCAGGCCAATTAATCCATCTTCTAATAGAGGTAAAAGATATATAATTACCTTCATTAATGATTATAGTTGGAAAATTTGGATATATTTTTTGCAAGAAAAAACTGAAGCTTTTGTGGCCTTTAAAAACTTTAAAGAGCTTGTTGAGAAAGAGGATGGAAGCCCAATAAAAGTTCTTCGCACTAATCGTGGTGGAGAATACAACTCACATGAATTTGCAAATTTTTGTGAGTTCCATGGAATCAAAAGGCAACTTACAGTAGCGTACACGCCTTGACAAAATGGAGTTTGTGAGAGAAAAAATCGCACTATTTTAAATATGGTGCAAAGTCTTTTAACAAGGAGTGGCATTCCGATTTTTTTTGGTCTGAAGCAGTTAATTGGAGCATTTATATATTGAACAGAAGTCCCACTCTTGCAGTTCAAAATATGACATCGGAGGAAGCATGGAGTGGAAGAAGACCGGCGGTAGATTATTTTATAATTTTTGGGTGTACTACTTAGACTCACATTCCAGATGCAAAGAGAAAAAAATTGGATGACGAAGGAGAAAAATGCATCTTTCTTAGTGTTAGTGATCAATCAAAAGCGTACAAATTGTACAATCCTATCACCAAGAAAATTGTCATTAGCCGTGATGTTGTATTTGATGAAGATAGAACCTGGTCTTGGAGCAACAATGGTGTTGAACAGACAATACCAGCAGATATTGATGGTGAAAATGAAGAAGAAGCACAACAACCTCATCAACAACAAGCTCCAACAGTTTCTACTCTTGAAGATCCTCAAAATGAAGGTTCTATAGCATTTGAAACTTCACCAGTAGTAACAACATATGATGAGTAGGTTGATGTTATAGAAGGTTCACATCCTCAACGTGTTAGAAGAAGGCTAGCATGGATGCAAGACTATGAGGTAACAGGAATTGATTATTCTGAGGATCCACTTACCCATTTTGCCTTGTTTTCAAACTGTTATCCAGTAACTTTCAAAGAGGTTGTCGAAGAATTAAAGTGGTGGAAGGCTATGAAAGCTAAAATTGAAGCCATCGAAAGAAACAACACTTGGGAATTGATGGAGCTTCCAAAAGGGCAAAAGACCATTGGTGTGAAGTGGGTTTATAAAACAAAGTTGAAGGAGAACGGTGAAGTTGACAAGTACAAGGCGCGTTTGGTGGCCAAGGGCTATAAGCAAGAATTTGGTGTTAATTACAAAGAAGTCTTCGCTCCAGTTGTGAGGTATGACACAATTAGATTGGTGATCACATCGGTAGCTCAAAACTCGTGGCTTATCTTCCAGTTGGATGTGAAATCAACATTTCTACATGGAGACCTACATGAGCAAGTATTGTTGATCAACATCCTAGTTATGTGAAGCTAGGTAATGAGCATAAGGTGTATAAGTTGAAAAAGGCTCTATATGGGCTGAAACAAGCTCCAAGAGTTTGGTACAGCCATATAGATGCTTATTTTTTGAAGGAAGGTTTTAGAAGATGTCCATATGAGCATATACTTTTTATTAAAATCGAAGATGGAGAAAAGATGATCTTTGTATGCTTATATGTAGATGAATTAATTTACACTGGAAATGATATGGCCATGTTTGAAAATTTTAAAAAGTCCATGATGAGTGAATTTGATATGTCTGATCTTGCAATGTTGCATTATTTTCTTGGCATTGAGGTGGTTCAATATGCTATTGGAATTTTATTTCTCAAAAAAAAAAAAAAAAAAAATCATATGTGCGAGAAATTTTAGACAGGTTTCAGATAAAGAATTGCAATTCTGTGAGTACACCAATTAAGTTTGGTTTGATGCTAAATAAAGCTCATAATGGAAAGAAGTTTAATGGCACTCTTTACAAGCAGATTATAGGAAGTCTAATGTATTTAACAACACAGAGACATATATAGTGTATTCAGTGAGTCTCATCAGCAGATACATGGAGAATCCAATAGAGATGCATCTGCTAGCTGCCAAGAGAATACTTCGGTACTTGCAAGGTACAATGGAATTTGGGTTGTTCTAGAAGAAGGGAGAAAAGTCAGACTTGATTGGCTTTACTAACAACGATTATGCTAAGGATCAAGATGATAGAAAAAGCACTTCAGGCTATGCTTTTATCCTTGGCTCAAGGGCTGTTTCACGATCATCAAAGAAATAGTCAATTGTCACTTTATCAACCATTGAAGCTGAATTTGTTGTTGCAACTTCATGTGCATGTCAAGCCATATGGTTGAAGAAAATTCTTGAAGAGCTTTATTTCAAGAGACAGGGCCTATTGCAATCTTTTGTGACAACAATTCAACAATCAAACTCTCTAAAAATCTTGTTCTACATGGGAAAAGTAAGCACATAGATGTGAAATTTCATTTCTTAAGAGACCTCACAAAGAATGGAACAATTGAACTCATCTATTGTAGAACTGAAGATCAGGTTGCAGACATATTCACAAAGCCCCTCAAATTGCATTCGTTTATGAAGTTAAGAGAATTGCTGGGTGTTTGTTAGCTGGATATTTAAGGGATTTCGGAGTTTTTTTCATTGTATTAAACTGAATGTTTGAAGACATCAGTTTAAGGGAGGGTTTGTTATGAATTTGTCAAAGTAGTCCTTCACATGGGTTCTCATAATTCAGTTGTGTAGCCTAGTCTTTATGCATTTTAGTAGTGTTTGTAGATCATGAGTTAGTGGTCAAAGTTGCCATCTTTTCGTCCCTTTTTCGTTGATGTATTGCCTATTTAAAAGGCTATTAGTTAATTGAATAAGAGACACAGTAAAAAGTATTTTCTCCAGTTTACTCTATTTTTGATCTTTATTAAAAGTGTCTTGTCTTTGTGCCTTTTTGTTTTTAGTCTTCAATTTGTAACGGAATGAAGAGTGAAGAAAAGAAGAGTAGTGTTTTGAAACTCGGACCGGACTAATCGGTTTTACAGAGTTTTGGGACCAACTCCGGTCCAAAAGCAACATAAACCCAATTTTATGTAATGGACCGTTTTAGACAGCTATTGGACATATGTAATAGTGACAAACCGTCTGGCCAAAGGGATTGGTGGATAAACGGGTTCAAATTAAACAAAATCCCTAAAATCCCAATTCCATTTCCGCTTACAATTTTTCAAATAAAACCCCAATTCGATCAACGTACTCACTGTTGAGGCCCTCTTGCTCTTTAGGGTGCTTTTCTTTTCAGTTTTAAGGTGACTAATGAATCTTTTGTTTCAAATGTTAAAGAGAAGTTGTAGAAATTGAATAAATAGAATGGTGTTTTTATGGAAATTGGTGAAAATGGAGCAAGGAAAGTGTTTAGACGGCGTCTGGATGGTTGGGAAAAGCAAGGGTTGTTGAAAATGATCAGAAAAACGACTGGGAAAAGACTAGGGTGGATTGCAGTTGCAGCAACTAAGGTTTCCTGGAGTTTTAATTACAGGGGTGTGTTTGCTAGATTTTAAACCTGTAGAGATTGATGGTAATTTCTCAGGGGTTATGTCATACGGTGATTCATGTATAAAAAGACCTATTTGCCCTTGCTGAATGAAGAAGTAAAAAAATGATTTAATGGTCAAACACTCTCTCTCATCATTAAGTCTGGAATTCAAATTCTATAGAGATATTTTTAAAATCTTGGATTTGTTGTAAAATATTGGATTTGTAACCAAGAAGATTTAAATGTTCTATTTGTAATTCAATACACATCAAATTTATTTAACATTATGTGACTTACTATATATGTATGACATGTATATAATATTGACTTACTATATATGTATATAATAGGTCATATATACATAAAATGTACCATACATATATATGTCATATATATACACACACGCGTGCACACACACACACATACACATTTATTTACATGCATATATATGACATAAATATGTGATAAATGCATTGAAAGTATTGACATATTATATATAGAATAAAACTATGTGCACTAACCAATTTGTACTAATCCAAGTACTAACATTGAAAATTTGAAATCCTCTCCCAAAAAAAATTCAAATTTTCAATGTTAGTAGTTGGATTAGTACAAATTGGTTAGTGCACATAGCATTACTCTTATATATATTTACATGCCTTATATATATATGTGATAAATATGACATATAGTATTAATTTACTATGTAATTTTTTTATATAGTATACCATATATATACATATTTATCTAGTGTACCATATGTAGTGTGTGTGTGTATATATATATATATATATATATATAACATGTAATTTGGTAAATGATATGATTTACCAAATAACACCATACATATATATTATTGAAATAACATGTTATCATAAAAAATTTTAAATAGAATATCTACATGTCGTTTTAAAGAATTGTCTTACTTGCATTAATAGTATAACATTATATGGGTTACATAATATTCTAATATGGGATTAGAGTTGGCATTATCTACTAGGGACAAATATTGATGCCATCCATCGTCGCAAATGTAGCAACTGTGGAAATGATAAAATCTCAAGGAAAAAGTTTACATGTTTTCTTTTCTAAAGAAATTTAACTATTACAATAAATTAATTCCAACTTTTCAACTTCTATTTTTGGAAATATTGAAGTAATCATTACTTCTCTCTCATCCTTCCATAATGTCAATGGAAGGAATTGTTTTTCCTCCAAGAGGCAGGGTTTAAGAGCCAAAAATAAATTTATTTTACTGAAGGATAAATTCCCAAAAAAGTTTTTGATGCGGATCAACTTATCCAAATAGCATTGTCCTTATTTTAGTTAGTATAAAATTGAGATATATTGTTATCAAATATATATATATAAATTTGTTGAAAAGATTACTAATTAAACTCTAGATTTTTATTTTCTATCTTGTGTTATAATCACAATTAGTTTAAATTAAATAGAGTAAACGACATTATCCTACCCAGGGTTTGGCGAAAAGGCAAGTTTCCATCCCTGGTTTTAGTTAGTATAAAATTGAGATATATATATATTTGTTGAAAAGATTACTAATTAAACTCTAGATTTTTATTTTTCTATCTTGTGTTATAATCACAACTAGTTTAAATTAAACAGAGTAAACGACATTTTCCCGGCCCAAGGTTTGGCGAAAAGGCAAGTTTCCATTCCCGGTTTTATAAATTACAGATTGCCACTTTTAAATTAACACTGTTAGTTTTCTCTCAAAATAACCCACACATCTCAAATTTCTGTCAAATAACCCCCACATCTTAATGGTAAGGCTGGTGGTGGCCCGCGACGGGGTGGAATGGCCTGAAAGAAAGCTACAATCAATAAAAAGCAAAAAACACTTTAAAACCAATCATTCTCCTTCCAAAACAAACTCCAAATCAACCTCCAATCAACCCAAATACAACAATTTCGCAAAATCCTAAAGGGGAAGGCAGACGACGATTAGCGGACAACTAGAGATGGGCATTTGCCCCGGCCCCACGGGGATCCGACTTGCCCCAGCCTGAATGGGGTGGGGAATCCCAGAAAAATTTGGGGATGGTCCTCAGAAAAATCCCCGCACCCGGGGAAGGGCCGGGGGAGGGAATAGTGCAATCCCCACCCCGCCCCGCCCCGCTTTNGAATCCATGCTTTCATGCTTTCATTCTCCATCTCCACCACTCTTCATGCATGCTGATTCTTTCAGAAAAGACCGGGCCCAGTCCGATAGAGGCCCAAGCCAAATCAGTCCCATTTGATACGAGATACGGCTGACCCAAACCTTCTGGGCACGGGCCTCCCGGTTCGAGTTCACTTCATGGGCCTGTAGGCAAGTTCCGAGTCCACGGCGCACTGATCATATTCCTGTTCCTGATCAATCTCCTACTCGAAGTTACTTTCCTGATCAGAATCACTTTCCTATCCGGACACTGGTAAGACAGCTTACCACGACCCTAATTCTTCTAGGGTTGGCATCAGAGTCACATTAAGACTCCTACTCCCACCAGGATTGGGAGACCAGATAGTCACTATATAAGCAGAGGCCAGCCCTCTCACAATGGACACGACATTACACCTTCACACCCGAAGCTCCCACTTGAGAGTTTCACTTCACCGCTGTAGTCACAGTCCCCGACTAAACTTCCGGTAATCTCTTACTCCCTAGCCCTCACTATATTAGCCTTTCAGCCTTGCTGACTTGAGCGTCGAAGTGCCTACGGCAAACTTCCGGTGTTTCCCGTTCACTTCACGCGTGTATTTTTCTACATGTACAGGTACAACAGATCGCTAGTGGGCTCATCCTCATGGGATCAGACCCCCCTTTTGTATAAGTAGATTTTTACGTCTACAGTTTGGCGCCCACCGTGGGGCCTCTAGCAATCAATCGGCTCGATGAACCTTGCTACGTGGAAGAACATTCCATGGCTGATAACTCCGATAACGCTAATCCCGGCCTCGAGGCCAAACTGGAAGCTCTAACCGCTCTCATGCAATAGAACTTGGACAAGGTGGCTGCATTGGAAGCTGAGAACAATATGATCCGGACGGAAAACGCGTCCATCAGGTCAGAAAACCATTCCCTCAAGGAGAAGGTGAGTCAATTCCATGACCTAGAGTTCCTTCCCGGCCAAGTACCCCCTAATTGGTTCCGCGCCCCTATCCCATCCATGCAACCACTCTCCACACCAAAGCATCAGCCCTCGGCCTCCGGTAAAAGGTCACGTCCGTTAAGAGCACTGGTGTTTGACGACTCCGTTTTGACTAATGGAGACAAAGATATGCCAACAGAACACTATCCGGCTGACCCATCCCAGCCTCGTGACCAAGATAATCCAATAACAGAGAGCCCACATCCACAAGACCAGCCCATCCTCACCGTCCCGCTCCACCTCCAGTTTACAACCCATACACAAACCCCATTCGGCTCGGCTTACCCTCGCGGGTTGAATGGTCAAACCAAACCAACTCTAGCACTCGAGCTCATCCATCCTGACAGACCGAGCGACTACCAATCGACTCCACTGACCATTCATGTAAGGTGGAACAATAGAACAGTGACAATGGGAGTCACCCAACCGAAAGGGATGAACGAAGATCCATGCTACCAAGGAATGCACGACAAAATGATCAATCAGACTACCCCCCGAGGGATGACCCAACGGAATGCGCTGAGAAAGAATGCAGTAGCAGACCTAGTAAGACAGGATGACCCGGTAGTATCCCCTTTTCCTATAGAACAAGTACTGGCCAAGAGACTGGCCGACGTCGAGGTAGTGATGAGACGCATTCCAGGAATGCCGGTCCCAACCAAGAAGAGCAGGCCCCATTGTTACGCAGATTCACCCATCGTGGACGAGATCGCCCTAGCAGACTTGCCACAGAAGTTCACTATCCCCAACATGAAAATGTACGATGGCACAACCGATCCGGACGATCACATAGCCTCGTACAAGCAACGGATGTTCATCGTCTCGATACCCCGACCGCTTAGGGAAGCCTGCATGTGCAAAAGTTTCGGTTCGAGCTTATCCGGCCCAGCACTATAATGGTACACGAACCTCCCGAATGGATCCATCGATTCGTTCACTCAACTCACCGACATGTTTGTGGAACAGTTCGCCAGTAGCAAGAAACTTGAGAAACTGTCAGCCGACTTGTACAAGGTATACCAGAAAAGGGGCGAGCCATTGAGAGAATATGTCAGCAGGTTTAACAGAGAGAAGATTTCCATCCTAGCATGCAACCCTGAGACAGTCGTAGATGTCTTCAGGAAGGGTCTCCTCTCGGATGGAGAGCTATACAAAGAACTTACAAAGCTATGATGCACAACAATGGAAGACGGCCTAGCCCGGGCAGTGATCCAAATAAGGTGGGAGGAGAACGAGATAAACTGAACGATTCACTCCAAATATGAACCAAGGCGGAGCGACAGGAAGCCAGAGCCTGGACCGGTAGAGCACCGCTACCACCCTCCAGCACGCAATATGGGTAGAGTCAGGAAGCCTTATGATCGCCAACCCTCGAGAAATGATAACAGGCAGTTCGGATCGAACCGACCTAGGATACCAGAGTACAACCTCAGCGTCAAACCAACCCAGGTCGTAGCAATAATGAAAGGATTGGGATCCACCGTCAAGTGGCCTGACAAGCTCCATCCCGAGGCAAGGAGAGACACAACCAAGTGGTGCGAGTTCCACAATGACCATGGGCACAACACCGCAGACTGTATTGCCTTACGACTCGAGGTTGTCGCACTTCTGAAAAGGGGACATCTCCGTGATCTGCTTACTGACGAGGGGAAGAACACTATTAGCCAGAAAAGCTCCAAAGAACCGTCACCCCCTCCGCGGGAACCCACACCGAAAGGTTTCTGTTCGCTCATCTCCGGGGGATCAGAGATTAGTAGGGTAAGTTACTCATCGACCAAGCGGTATGCTAGAGCCAACCACCACCATGAAATCCAGTCCATCCATCCGGTCTCGCGGTCACACTCTCATCAGGTAATTCAGTTTGAAGATGACGAACAGGCCACCATGGCTGCTCCTCATCACGATGCTTTAGTCGTATTCCTACAGATTGCCAACATCCTAGTGAAAAGGGTGTTCGTAGATGGAGGTTCATCAGCAAACATCCTGTTCCTCGAAGCAGTAAAAGTAATGGGACTAGAAGAAGTAAACATTAACAGGCGGCCGATGCTGCTGGTTGGGTTCAGCTCGGAGTAGAAATACACTATTGGAGAGAGAGTCCTTCCTATCTACGCCGGCGGAGTAAACAAACAGACCGTCTTCCTGGTGATTGACTGCCCATCTCCCTACAATGTCATTTTGGGCCGGCCTTGGATCCACGACATGCAGGCAGTCCCATCTACCTTCCACCAGACGATCAGGTTTCCAACCAAGTGGGGGGTGTGAGAGATCAAGGGCGACCTCAAAGCTTCCAGAGACTGCTACAAGAACGCCCTCAAGAGCAAAGGAAACTCCTCATAGCAATTACAGTCTCATCCAACCCCTCGGACCGAGCCTGACCAACTGACCATTAAGGAGTTGGATGAAGTGCAGATACATCCAGACGACCCCGAGAGAAAGACACACATAGGTTCTCGCCTCGAACACGAGACAAGAGAGAAGCTGATAGAATTTCTCAAACAGAACAAAGACTGCTTCACCTGGTCCCATGCCGACATGACCGGAATCAGTCCAGACGCAATGGTCCACCAGCTCAAGGCAGATCCGGATCACCCACCAGTGAAGCAGAGGAGGAGGAAATTCGCACCTGAGTGAAACCGGATCATCAATGAAGAGATTGAAAAGCTCTTGAGCAACGGCATGATCAGAGAGGTCCACTACCCCGAATGGCTAGCAAACGTCGTGGTCGTAAAGAAAAAGAACGGAAAGTGGAGAGTCTGCATCGACTTCACTGACTTGAACAAAGCCTGCCCCAAGGATTCTTTCCCACTCCCACATATCGACATGATGGTAGATGCGACCGCAGGGCACGAACTCCTCAGTTTCATGGACGCCTTCTCGGAATATAACCAGATCCTTATGCATCCGGACGATCAAGAGAAGATAGCCTTCATCATAGAGAGGGGAACCTACTGCTACAAAGTAATGCCGTTTGGACTGAAGAACGCCGGGGCCACCTACCAACGGCTAGTCAACAAGATGTTCTCCAACTACTTAGGAGAAACTATGGAGGTTTACATCGATGCCATGCTCGTCAAGTCCCTAATTGCCGAACAACACCTTGACCACCTTAGCCAGGCATTCGCCGTCCTCCGGAAGTACAATATGAAGCTGAATCCAGCCAAGTGCTCATTCGGCGTCTTATTAGGTAAATTCTTGGGCTATATGGTTACCCAGAGGGGGATAGAAGCGAACCCCGACTAGATCAGAGCGATCCTCAACATACCATCCCCGACTTGCATCAGAGATGTCCAGCGCCTTACAGGACGAGTGACCGCCCTGAGCCGCTTCATCTCCAGATCAGCTGATAAGTGCCACCTATTCTTCCATGCCCTCAAAAAGTCTAAGAAGTTCGACTGGAACCCCTCATGCGAAAAAGCCTTACAATAGCTGAAGAGGTATCTGACCACACCCCCGCTTCTTTCCAAACCTTTGGACGGGGAGTCGCTCTACTCTTACCTAGCGGTCTCAGGGACAGCCATCTCAGTAGTGCTGGTTCGGGAAGAAGAATCAAAGCAGTTACCAGTCTACTATGTGAGCAAGTCGCTCCTCGACGCAGAAACTCGGTACAGCCAACTGGAGAAATTGGCCCTCGCCCTCACCCTCACCCTCATCCATACATCCAGGAAGCTCAGGCCGTACTTTCAATGCCACTCCATTGTTGTAATCACCTCCTTCCCACTCAAGAAGATCCTGCACAAACCAGAACTATCAGGCCAACTCACGTAATGGACAGTAGAGCTCAGTGAATTTGACATATCCTACCAATCTCGCACCGTCGTCAAGTCCCAGGAACTAGTAGACTTTATTGTCGACTTCACACCAAGCGCCACCACCCAGGCCGAAAGAGAGTTACTATGCATGAACGGCGCACTGCCCTCAAAGTGGACTCTCCTAGTAGATGGATCGAGTAATGTCAATGGAAGCGGACTCGGAATAGTACTGATCGCACCAGAGGGAGACATCGTCCAACGAGAAATCCGATGTGGATTCAAGTGCAAGAATAACGAGGCCAAATATGAAGCCCTCCTAGCCGGACTTTCCTTGGCCAGAGAAATTGGAGCCAAGAGACTGGAAGTGAAGTTCGATTCCCAACTCGTAGTCAATCAACTACAAGGCACGTATCAAGCACGCGACTCAAAGATGACATCCTATTTGAGCATGGTCAAAGAACTGCAGGCCCAATTCGAAGAGTTCTCCATCATGCAGATCCCTAGAGCTGAGAACTACCATGCCGACGCCCTCGCCAATCTTGGCTCGGCACTCCCATGTTCCTCCCAGTCATCCACCTCTCTTATTCATGCAGTGGCCAGCCAATTGGAAGGAACAACTACCGAACAAGCCTCCCGCAGAAGCCATGGGCATTGAACAAGCCGACTGCTGGATGACTCCGGTAGTAAGGTACCTGGAAAATGATGAACTCCCGACTGACAAGAATGAAGTACGCCGACTGAAAGCAAGAGCCGCCAGATTCACCATACATGAGAGCCAACTCTTCAGAAAGTCATTCTCAGGCCCTTATCTCAAATGCGTAAGCCCAAAAGAAGCCCAAAGCGTTCTAGCCGAACTCCATGAAGGCGAATATGGGAACCACGCAAGGGGCCGCAGTCTTGCACATCGGGTGATCACCGCTGGATATTACTGGCCGAACATATGCACTGATTCAACCGCTTATGTAAAGACAGCTGTCAGAGGTTTGCCCATGTCTCACACCTCCCACCAGAGCGACTACACTTCATCCTCACACCTTGGCCATTCATGAAGTGGGGAATGGACATCGTGGGAAAGCTACCTACTGCACCCGGGCAACGAGTCTTCATGTTGGCTGTAACAGACTACTTTACCAAGTGGATCGAAGCCGAAGCCTTCGCACAAGTAAGAGATCGAGAGGTAAAGTCCTTCATCTGGAAGAATGTCATCTGTAGGTTCGGAATACCAAAAGAGATCGTCACCGATAATGGGTCCCAGTTCATTAGCTCAAGCTTCAGGGATTATTGTGACAAGTGGGGAATCAAACTGAGTTTCTCAACTCCCCGCAACCCCCAGTCTAACAGCCAGGCCGAGTCATCGAACAAGACCATCATTCAGACATTGAAAAAGCGACTGCATAAAGCCAAAGGCGTATGGGCAGATGAGCTACCCGGAGTCCTCTAGTCGTACCGAACCATGGCTCGATCATTAACGGGCGAAACCCCGTTCTCCCTCACATACGGTTCTGAAGCAGTCATCCCATCAGAAGTATCAGTTCTGTCCACCAGGCTCCAATGGGCGGACGAGGAATCAAACAATCATAATCTCTGCCAGAACCTAGACACCATGGACGAGCTACGGGAATGGGCTAGCATCCGCAATGCAGTTTACCAGCAACAGGCCGCCTGACATTATAACCGCAACGTGAGGATCTGTACTTTCAAGATAGGCGACTGGGTCCTCCGCAGGGTATTCCAAAACACCAAGGAGATCAACTCTAGCAAACTCAGCCCCACCTGGGAAGGCCCCTACAAGATAATCAAAACAACAGGGAAGGGCGCCTACAAACTCCAGACCCCGAAGGCAAAGGCATCAACAATAGTTGGAATGCCATTCACCTCAAACGCTACTACTACTAGGTGAACTTTGTTTTTCTTTATTTTTCATTTTAAAAAGGATGAGTGGGCCTATCCACCTCCTCTTAGACAGTCGGCCTCATGGCCAAAAATTCATTGAAGTATTATTCAGAAACTTTTGTCTTTCAAGCCGACCCTGGTCGATGAATTACTGACACCTTCAGATCGGCCATGCCGATAAATGTACTAACGCCTTTAAATCGGCCATGCCCGATAAACATACGTACACCTTCGAATCGACCCTGCTCAATTTACAAGGACACCTTCAGATCGGCCATGCCGACAAACGTACTAACGCCTTCAAATCGGCTCTGCCCGATAAAAGTACGTATACCTTCGAATCGACCCTGCTCGATTCACGAGGACACCTTCAGATCGACCATGCCGATAAATGTACTAACGCCTTCAAATCGGCTCTGCCTGATAAACGTACGTACACCTTCGAATCAACCATGCTCGATTCACGAGGACATCTTCAGTTCGGCCATGCCAATAAACGTACTAACACCTTTAAATCGGCCTTGCCCGATAAACGTACGTACACCTTCGAATCGACCATGCTCGATTCATGAGGACACCGTCAGATCGGCCCTGTCGATAAACGTACTAATGCCTTCAAATCGGCCCTGCCCGATAAAAGTACGTACACCTTCGAATCGACCCTGCTCGATTCACGAGGATACATTTAGATCGGCCATGCCGATAAACGTACTAACGCCTTCAAATCGGCTCTGCTCGATAAACGTACGTACACCTTCGAATCGACCATGCTCGATTCACGAGGACACCTTCAGTTCGGCCATGCTGATAAACGTACTAACGCCTTCAAATCGGCCCTGCCCGATAAACGTACGTACACCTTCGAATCGACCATGCTCGATTCACAAGGACACCGTCAGATCGGCCCTGCCGATAAACGTAATAACGCCTTCAAATCGGCGCTACCCGATAAACGTACGTACACCTTCGAATCGACCCTGCTCGATTAACGATGACACCTTCGGATCGGCCTTGCCAATAAACGTATTAAATATCGGCCTTACTTGATTCGCAAGTTGCACGTAGTATTGGCCCCACTCGGTCTACGAAACTCAACATGACTTATGATTCATACCACCCAATCGGCCCGATCTGACCCAAGAACTGAACTAAAGTTTAACTTCGTTCATCCAAGGGAATCTGCACTCGGTCGACCAGACCGAATGAATGGTCCTTACACCATTGACAAGCAAAGCACTAACCCAGCCCAACATAAGGCCTACATGCCCTAGCCATTGGGCTACTCTAAAGTAACATACACGACGTAGTGCACCTACAAGTAAAGAAACAACAGTTCATTCATCCAAGGAGACAGTATCAAAAGTCAAAATGGTCAAATGTTATATATATAACATCAAACAGAATACAAAAAAATGGCACACACGCCAGACGAAAGGGCATCACAGGCCCCAAAATACATAAATAAAGAAAAAAGCTAAGTATCCTCAGCACGAGCTTCATCCTCCATCACTGAATCGGTCACCATGTCCGCCCTGCCAACGCTCGGCCCAGCAGCCTAGTCGCCCGCATCATCAACACTCGATGGCCTCGGCTGGTTGAGGTCAGGCATCTGCTCATCGTCCTGCCCCCCCGGATGACTACCCCTTTCTTCCAGTAACTCCTGCATGAGCAAGATGTCTTCATCCGGATCCCAATGGGAGGTCCGTCCTTCCTTGAACTCCAGCATGAGCTCACCTCGGGCCTTAATGATAGCATCATCAGCAATGGAGATGCACTGCTCCCTGAGAGACTCAATCTCTACGGTTCTCTCAGCCAACTCATGCCTCAGTCTCTCGACCTCATGCTCACTATCCCTCAGACGATGCTGAAACTCTTGCTCGGCCTTCCGGGCCGCCATCTCCTTCTGGCGCAGGCTGGTGTTGGCCTCGGACACATCCTGTATACGTTTCTCCTACGCCATGATAGACTTCCTCAAGTGAAGACTGCTAGTGAGTACCTGTACAACAAAACATTGCAATCAGAACGAGATCCAGAAACAAAAATCATCAAACACTACTGTAATACCTGAACGGCGCAGGCTACCCCCCAATCAGCTGTAGCAACTGCACCCATCTAGTTAAGCCGTGCCTCGTTCGCTGGGAACAAAAATGAGTCAGCCAACTTACTCATGGTAGCCGCATCAGAGTAAGTCGACGCATTAGCCGGAACCGTGATGGTAATAGTTCCGGCCTCTTCATCCACAACCGCAGACTGGGACGACCTGGCTCCAACTGCAGGCTGCTGACTTGATAGTTGCTGACTTGGTGGCGTCGCTAGCGCATTTTCTGCTCCTCTGTCTTCCCTGGCTAAAGACTCTTCCTCCTCTTCTCGCGGCGTCAGGCAATAGATTTACTCGCGCTCGAGACGGTCAACTTCTTCATCAGTGACTCTGCAAGTGCAAACTCTCCAACGGTTAGTGGGTTCAGCTCGGACTCACCAAAAATGATATGGTTGCAGTATCGACTCAGAAGCACATCCCAAGTCTGCTTCAGCGAGGGGAAGGGAGTACCTCTCTGTATCGCCTCTACCCCGGCCCAAAGAATGCTGGTCCTAAGGTTGGACTCTGCTAGTACTACTCACCAATCCCTCTGCTCTAATGGGATGGCTAACACTCTCTAGGTTGCTACGTCCAAGCCATCTCCGCTCTGCCCAACCCAATTGAACTCAAGCTCTGCAAACAAAAAACACAATCAAGATTTAGTAATCAAAAGTATGAAAGAAACAACTAAGTTCTCACTAGTAGCTCGCCAGCCGATCAAGATCTCGCCCTGTCCTCTCTCCCCAAATACAGCTTGACCCCTGAGGTAGAAATATCTGTCCTTCCACTTCTTATCACTGGACCGTAGGTCGGTCACCAAGTGAGACCGATCATGCCTCAAGTTCAACAAGTAACGACCCTTTTCTTTATCGTTCTCCTTCAAGAAGTACGAGTACAGCAGCTCGTGTAGCCCGAACCTCACTTGGTTCCGAACACAGAGGTCTTCCAAAGCCATTAGCAGTCTCCAAGCATTCGGCATAAGCTGAGACGGGGCAATCATGAAGTGGTTCAGCACCTCCCAGACGAGGCGGGGCACAGGCAACCTCAACCCGTCATGAAACCACTTCTCATAAGCACTAACCCAGTCCTTTGCCTCCCAGTCAACCTACTCGTACGACCGCGGCATCTGGATATCAACCGAACTTGGAATGTGATACAAGGTCCAGATGCGCCACACATCACTATCTTTCAGCACGGGCGGATGATCTCTAGTCAAGATCCCGCTGCCTTGTTGGCTCGGCTCTTCCTTAGAGCCACTTCCAGAAGAAGATGGACTACCAACTCTTTCGGAGTCTTCCCCACTTCTCCCATGCCTGCCTGAGCCACTCGGCCCAGCCTCACTCGACCTTGGAGCGGCTATACTAACTCCAATCGGCACGCCCACTGGAACATCCCCCTCAGGCATCATCACTATAGTCGGGGCACGCTCATACTCATCCCCTAGGTCTGCCACAATCCCGCTTCAACTAGCCGATTCAGAATCCGACATGTTGGCTTGATCGCCTAACCCGACAGATCAACCCAAGGCTCGCTCCTAACTGCCAAAAATGCTAAGTGTCAACCACACGACCCGAGACACCGACCAATCAAGATCAGAAACAGAGTTGTCACTCGCCCCTCAATACCGGTCTACCTACCCGGAAACAGTTTAACCTAAACCTTGATCGACCCACCCGGTCGACCGACTCAGCTCTTGATTCTAGCCTTCCTTGGCTCGCCCTAGGTGACCGACCCAGCCAATCCCTGATCAAAATTATCCCCTCGCTCGCCCTGGGCGACCGACTGGTCCTCAAGGTCAACTTAAATTCTAATCGCCCTTGCTCACCGATCTAGCAACTCAAAATCACTCGCTCGGTCTGGACGACCAACTGCCTCTTCACTCCACTCCGCATGCCCCTCTCCACTCGGTTGAATGGACCCGACGACCTAACTCCCCCCAACTCCACCAAGATGGCACCCTGTTCGGTCAGGCAGACCGACCGAACGAACTCACACTAAACTCGACTTCGCCTTCCCAGACTCTATCCAAAACACCCAGAAAAACACCAGAAAAACCAACCAGCTTATCGGAAAACCATCAGGAATACCAAAATTCATGCCTATTCCAAAAATCTATATTCTGAACTCCCCAAAACCCATCGAAACTACTCGAAAACTCAAGAACTTCAATCTATCTTCCAAAAACACAGCAAAATCTACCAAAGTAGACAAAGAAAAGCAGAAACATCATGAAAATGAAATATTTACCGTGAAAGGAGCCAAAGTCTGTCGTGAGAAACTGTCGTTGTTGAAAAGAAACTGAAAATGCAGAAAGAAAAAAAAAATTTGTTGTTCTGCAGAAAAACAGAGAAAAAAAAGAAGCAAATGGGAGACGAACGGCCTACTAGTTCGTTTTTCAAGGGACATATGCCAGATGAGGACACATGGCGCCTCGCAATTGGCAGGTAGTCAGCAACTTTTCGTTTTCCCTCCTCGAAAACAATGGGTCGATCCCCACCGAACACGTGGCGAGCATCTATGCCGTACGAGAGTCGTACTCGATCGCCTTGTCATGCCGACCGATCCAGCACACTACTCAAGCCTGGTCGACCAGCCGGAACGACCCTGTCCGAACTCCCTACATTCAAAAGGTAGGAGGCCTTGTCCTGTCACCCTTCCATAGCGGAAGAACGGACAGCCAGTGGTCAACTTGCATACCTGTCTATTCGATCGCTCGGCCCTCCAGACCAACTTAGCCTTGACCCCCGAAGGCACTCAAAATGCCCCACGCTTTTCTAGCCCGGAAGGCCCGACCGACCGATCAGTCAGTATGGAACAGCCCGGTTCGAGCCCTCAGAATAAGACAGGAGACTTCGCCCATTCATCCTTCCGTAGCGGACGAATGGACAACCTATGGTCAAGATGCCACCCAGTCGATCGCTCCAGCATCCCGATCGAGTGAAGCTTTTTGGCATGTTTATTAACTCACCAGACCCGGAAAGACGAGTGAATACCCCGTCTTAACTCACCTTGCTTGTCTAAAGGATATACCGAACGACTGCGTGAGCACTGATCTATTTCTGTCCCTTCGGCTTGTCACACCGATCAGGCTCACCGCAACGATGGCATACTCTGGGTCAGGAGTGGATGCCGAACGATGTCCAAACCAAAGATCACCTACAACGATCAGATCATCCACGCCGATGATCGTTCTTCCACGAAGGAAGACCAAGCTCGTCTCGAGCGCTACCTACTCTCTGACTTTAAGTACTCTCAACTCAGAGAGTGGGGGACAAACTGTTAGGGCCAAAAATCGTCCTTGGCCCAAATAAGAAAACATGACCACTAGTGAAGAAAAGACCGAGCCCAGTCCTATAGAGGCCTAAGCCAGATCAGTCCCATTTGATACGAGATACGGCCAACCTAAACCCTCTGGGCACGGGCCTCCCGGTTCGAGTTCACTTCATGGGCCTGTAGGCAAGTTCCAAGTCCACGGCGCACTGATCATATTCCTGTTCCTGATCAATCTCCTACTCAAAGTTACTTTCCTGATCAGAATCACTTTCCTGATCAGAATCACTTTCCTATCTGGACACTGGTAAGACAGCTTACCACGACCATAATTCTTCTAGGGTTGGCATCAGAGTCACATTAGGATTCCTACTCCCACCAGGATTGGGAGACCAGATAGTCACTATATAAGTAGAGGCCAGCCCTCTCACAATGGACACGACATTACACTTTCACACCCGAAGCTCTCACTTGAGAGCTTCACTTCACCGCCGTAGTCACAGTCCTCGACTAGACTTCCGGTAATCTCTTACTCCCAAGCCCTCACTATATTAGCTTTTCAGCCTTGCTGACTTGAGCATCGGAGTGCCTACGGCAAACACCACCCTAGTGTTTCCCGTTCGCTTCACGCGTGTATTTTTCTACGTGTGTAGGTATAGCAGATCGCTAGTGGCCTCATCCTCATGGAATCAGACCCCCTTTTCGTACAGGTAGATTTTTACGTCTACATAAACATAATTGATATATGAATTTTGCTGAATCAAAATTAAATTTCAAAGCAAACCCACATCAAATTTTTCCATCAAAATTAAGCACAAACAATCGATACCAATTTACAAAGTAAACCCACATCAGAACATGCAGAATTTCGATCATAATTCTGAAAAATTAAAACAAACCCAGATCAAAATTCGTCTAAAAAACCACAAAAAAAATCATCAAAACAAAATGCCAAACAATTGACCCAGACCCATCTAAGAATCAACCAAAATAAAGAAATGAAACAAGTCAAAATTACGAAAAGCTTACCAATTTGGCATTGAAGTTTTTGTTTTCGGTGGTGGCCATGAGGACGAGATCAAAATCAGAGCAAAAGGAATAAAGAAAGAAAATGGGGAAAATTGAGAGGGTTGATGCGGAAACAGAAAGGTTAGCGGGGAAATGGGAAGGTTCCTCAACACCAACCCTTCTTCTCTTCCTCTCTCTCTTAAGGAATTCTAAAGGTACACGAAAGCTTGCCTTTATTTTATTTTATTTTATGTTTTAAGTTTTTAATTAAAAATGAAAATGTTTATTTACAGTAATAATTACTATTAATTTTTAATTTTTTAATTTTTATTCACTTAAAAAAAAACAATTTAAAGGTTATTTTGATTTTTTTTTTTTAAATAATTGGTGACAAATAAAATTAAGGATGTTCTAGGATGTCCTTAATAATTTTTTTGAAAAATATGTATAATTTGGGAAATTATTGCAAAATAAATTATTCTAGTACATTTTTTTGCTTGCAATAAGATAATTTATGCACGTTTAGATAATAAAATAATTTTGAAATAAAAATTAAATTCTTCACAATTCATATACCCAATGATATAATTATTGAATGTGTCTAATGTGACGAACATCATTAAATACAATGTCTGTGACTGCTAGAGATGAAATATTGAAATTCTCTTATGTTTTTAAACTTCTATAGGTTTGTTAATTTAACTACATACCTTTAATAAAAAAAAAATTATAAATTGACCAAAAAAACCCTCACCCACCAACATTTGTTAGATTCTGACCATTACCATTGTTGAAAAGTTGTCGAAATCTGACAAATATGGGTGGGTGAGAGTGTTTTTGTTAATTTATAAAATTTTTATTGTTGGGGGTATGGTCAGAATCTAACAAATGTGAATGGATGAGGGTATTTTTGCTAATTTATAAACTTTTTATTGTTAGAGTGTTGAATAAATTAACAAATTAACAAATTTAGGAGGTTTTTTTATTAATTAATAAATCATACCTCACCTCGTAATAACAACTCAATTTTATTTTTTTTATAAATACTATTCTAAATAATAAAATAAACACGCTAAAAAATCTAGTATGTAAAAAAAGAAGAACAGCCGAAAGCCCAAGGGAACCAAGCAAAGCAACAGTGGGCCTAACCCAAACAGCCATTCAAAATTGAACGACTCCACGGCCCATAATGCGTGTTCAGTAATTTCCCTCTCTCTCGCCGACTCTCCCTGCGCCGCTAGGTCAATTGGCAGCGCTTAAACAAACTACGAAAAACACACATACAAATTACTGACACAACGAAAACCAAACACCATGATCTAAAACACAAAACAAGAATCAATGATAGAAAAATGCTGTCAAGAACTACCAATATTATTCAGCACAAGCGCACGTTAGCCTCTTCCAGTTATCGTGTCACAGGATCGCCATGTTCAGGTCTGTCGGCCTTACTACTCTCTCCTATCGTTTAGGGTTTTCTATTTTCTAGTTGACTCAATTATCTGATTCTGACGTTAATCGTGAATTATGACTGCGGTTTTATTCTTGCTTTGCACTTTTTTTTTTTTTTTTGGGTTATTTTATCTTTAATTATTGATTTTTTTCACCTTAAGCTGCTAGTAGTTAGTAGTTTATTTTATGAGATTTAAAATAATAATTTGAAGCTAAGAGACGCGAAGGTAATTTAACTTAATTGAATTTGGCCTTGTTTTGCAAACTATATTTGAGTTGTGTGACTGTTGGGATGTAGGATTTTGACATTCCGAAATCTTCGGAGAGCTGCCCAGTGTATTGTTTCGAAGCAGAGGAGTTTCCATTCAGAAATAAGGAATTATGGAGCTGTAGTTACGGTTGGGTTACGTGCGTCCCAGTACAGATTTTATGGGTTTCGTAGGGGAGGGCACTCCGTGTATAATACCGAAGAGCTTTTTTGTAGGAGTTGCATTGCCAGGAATTTATCAGTTGCCTCTGCAAGTAGTACTGTGACCCATCGAGCACTAACTGCTTGGAGAAAGCTTTTACATGAAGGTTCTGGTGAACAGATTTTTCCCTGTATAAGTAGGATCGTCCAAGCAGTCAGCTTGGCTTTGACACGTTCACCCCTTGTTGTACCTGGTATATTTGCCTTCACATCTGGTCAGCTAGCATGGGCACAGAGAGTGTCTCCGGAGACCGAGCATTACCCTTCGGAAAATGCTTTGTACATGCGTGCACAAGATGGGCATGCATTTGTCACCTCATTTCTATATTCAGCCGTAGAAGGTGTTATTCTGCTTGTGAGGACCTTCTATCTTATGATATTATTCTCACCCAGCATAATGATGGCACCTTTCGCTGATTGTTTGGGACCCCAGTTTAGGCAATGGTGGCTTCATGTTGTTCTTAAAACCCTGGAAAAAGCAGGTCCAGCATTCATTAAATGGGGTCAATGGGCAGCTACACGGCCAGATCTCTTTCCTAGAGATTTATGCAACAAGCTTTCAGAGCTTCATACAAAAGCTCCTGAGCATAGCTTTGCGTATTCTAAAAAGACTATTGAAAAAGCATTTGGTCGAAAGCTTTCTGAAATTTTTGATAGTTTTGAAGAGGCACCTGTAGCATCTGGTAGTATAGCTCAAGTCCATCGGGCTTCTTTGAGATTTCGGTACCCTGGTCAAAAGGTGAAGCCTATAGTAGTTGCTGTAAAGGTTAGACATCCTGGTGTTGGTGAATCAATTAGGAGAGATTTTGTAATAATTAACTTGGCAGCCAAGATATCCACATTCATTCCTGCTGTGAAGTGGCTAAGGTTGGATGAGAGTGTTCAGCAATTTGCAGTTTTCATGATGTCTCAAGTTGACCTTGCCAGGGAAGCTGCCCATTTGAGCCGCTTTATTTATAATTTCCGAAGATGGAAGGATGTTTCTTTTCCTAGGCCAGTGTATCCCCTTGTGCATCCTGCTGTTCTGGTGGAAAGCTATGAGCAAGGGGAAAGTGTCTCACACTATGTTGATGAACTTGAGGGACATACTAGGATTAAAACTGCGCTTGCTCACATCGGGACTCATGCACTTTTGAAGATGCTCCTGGTACCATTTCTTGAATAAGTTATTTATATTTACATTATGATGTGATTATGACTTTTCAGTTGCTAATTTTCTTTTTGGTCTACTTTATGCTTGATTATATGTCTATTTATGTTGTTAACTTTTCAATTGAGTTAATATTGTAGATGAATTGAATTTACAATATGTTCAAGTTGAAAATATAGTATTCTGAGTGAGCTAGGCCTCTAGTTATACCCAAGTAATTGTTGCTCTGCTGAATTTCATTCAGCACCCTAATAGAAATCAATCTTTCACCTCACTGAAAAAGTTGTTAACACAGCTATTGGTCTTTCTATCAAATCACTGAACCTGCTTGGAAGTATTTTTCCTTTCTATGTTAAAAAAGAACTTGATATGTGCATTCTACATGGTTTCTCACAATGATATCTGGATGAATATCAGGGTTGTATTTTTCTTCAATCCATTGTGAGCTTTCTCTTTTTTCTTTGTCACAATAACACTGATTTAATTGATTACATGATTTCTTTTCCTGTGCTTGGCGTTTTTGTTATTAATTATAAGTTAGACATTTAGTGTTATATCTGTATTTCAAGACATTGTAATGTTGTGTTTCAGGTGGACAATTTTATTCATGCTGACATGCATCCTGGAAATATTCTTGTACGGGTGGCTCAAAGCAACTCTTCTAAGAAACGGCTCTTTAGATCAAAGCCTCATCTCATTTTCCTTGATGTAGGCATGACTGCTGAACTTTCTAAGAGTGATCGAGTAAATTTATTGGAATTTTTTAAGGCTGTTGCACGCCGAGATGGCCGCACTGCTGCAGAGCGCACGCTCAAATTGTCAAAGCAACAGAACTGCCCAGATCCAAAAGCTTTTATTGAGGTTATTATCAGGATCATGACTTATTTACTTTGATGTGAATAATTCTGATTAGGATTATCTGTTGGTTGTGCGCAATGGTTTCAAATTTGCAAGATTTTTCTATCTTAATTTATATCAATGCACCAAAAATTTTACAAAATGTTCCTGTTTGTTACTGTTCATAACTCATTAGGTGTATTTGTTTTTACCTAAATTATATGTTTCTCATGGTTGCCTATGATGATTGCTGTACAAGAAATAGAGAGCACTATATCATATTCAGGCATTTGACTCTTTTAAAAATCTAAACTTTGTTAAAAGTTGTTCTGTTGGATGCATGCCATTGATGTTTTAATTGTATTTGATCTCCATTCCATTTTATTTGTATAGCTTTTGACATACTGTGTTGACAGGAAGTGGAAGAGGCTTTTGCTTTCTGGGGTACTCCAGAAGGTGATTTAGTCCACCCTGCTGAGTGCATGCAACAATTACTCGAAAAAGTTCGGCGCCATAGAGTGAATATTGATGGAAATGTGTGCACTGTGATGGTCACAACTTTGGTTCTTGAGGTAATTGTGCTCTTACATTTTTGCCTTTATCAATTAGGTGTTGAACAGTCAAGAAAGAAAAGGTCATTGGAGGACCTTGACCTCCTATGCGTTTTAAACATTTGAATTACTGGATTGGGAACCTTAACCTTTGTCTTTCTATCGCCCTCTCACCATTTATGTTTTCATTCTATATAATTTCCTTTATCCTCGTGTGTATTCATTACAAATGTCATGTATTCTCTTTTTGAGGAAAATATAATTATGAAAATGTCAAGTGTGGATCGAATGATATTAGAAATAGCCTAAGAGGTGAATATATAATTATATATACTTGAGTAGCTGAATTGGCGTAGACATGTTTAAGATCAATGTCATATAGTGAATTTAATTTTGTATGCTTTGTTGCTTGTTTTATTTTTTCAGGGTTGGCAGCGGAAGCTTGATCCTGGGTATAATGTAATGGACACATTACAAACTTTGCTACTGAAAGCTGATTGGGCAAAGTCTCTTTCTTACACAATCGATGGACTGATGGCCCCATAAGATCGTTTTTGTCTGTTGCTTGTCCACTGAAACAATTTTGATAGTGCTAAGACATTATAGTATACCAGTCCCAGGAAATGAGACAAGTGTCTTAGTATTTTTTTTTTTTTTTTTTTTTCTTTGGGGGGGGGGGGGCGGGGCGGTGTTCCCTTCAAAATTGAGCCTTTTTTCAAATATGAAAAATTTTGTTCTTCTGTATTTATTCCATTTTTCCCACAAACCATTGTTGTTATATCTTAGCCTCACGATTCTCAGGCGAAACAGTGGGGGTGGACAACAAAAGAGACAAATAAATTGTTTGACATTCTATTCTTTCAAGTTTTTTGTGTACAGTATGCACTTTCTTGCTCACAAAGCTCAATAGAGCCCCAAAAATTATGAAAGTATAAGGGGCTTGTTTTTATGTTCCCTTCAACTATATATTCAAAGTTTTACGTGTCCATGATAAATGTTTGGTGATCAGACAAATTGTTTGAGTTGAATTGAATATCAAGAAGTCTATGGACAACTCATCAGTTTAATGATTTGAAAGAGAATGTTTCCATGAANGGTTCCCTTCAAAATTGAGCCTTTTTTCAAATATGAAAAATTTTGTTCTTCTGTATTTATTCCATTTTTCCCACAAACCATTGTTGTTATATCTTAGCCTCACGATTCTCAGGCGAAACAGTGGGGGTGGACAACAAAAGAGACAAATAAATTGTTTGACATTCTATTCTTTCAAGTTTTTTGTGTACAGTATGCACTTTCTTGCTCTCAAAGCTCGATAGAGCCCCAAAAATTATGAAAGTATAAGGGGCTTGTTTTTATGTTCCCTTCAACTATATATTGAAAGTTATATGTGTCCATGATAAATGTTTGGTGATCAGACAAATTGTTTGAGTTGAATTGAATATGAAGAAGTCTATGGACAACTCATCAGTTTAATGATTTGAAAGAGAATGTTTCCATGAAATACATTGACTTGGTTTGTCGAGGATAGTTTTATGTTAAGAGCGAGAATTCATATAATTGTAAGTCATCCTAAGGCATACTAACGAGTGGCAGAAGTGATGCAATTCTGCTTGTGGGTTGATTCAAATATATAAGAGAGATTGTGCTATGCACATTTTTTTATTATTATGATTTGACCACTTTTTTCCAATCAAATAATGGCTTAATGATATTTTTTTACCCCTAAATTTTTAAAATATCACTTTATTACTTAAAATTTATATTTCGACGACAAACAGAAAACAAACTCGATCTAGATTATTGAGACTTTTGAAGAAAGGAGGTCGGTAAGTCTTTTTATGGTAAAAGGTTAGATCTTAGTGGTTAGGATTGATCAAAATTTGACTTGAGAGAGACGGTTCTGTAAAATCTAATCGTTCTATTGTCGACGATTAATAGAATCGACAGGAATAGGGTTTGAAGAGTTTTGTTAAGTGATGATCGGAGAAGAGAATGGTAATGGTTTATGGTCACAACAATGCCGAAATCGAAAACAGAATATAAATTTAGATAATAAAATGGTATTTTAAAAGTTTGTACGTAAAAAAAAATGTTAATAAACCATTGTTTGAGTGGATAAAAATTGTTTACTCTTGACGATTTGAGGCAGTGGAATATCATATAAAGAAGAACTGCGCGCTTGTGGATATGACAGTAGAAAGATTACTCTTTTTTTTTTTCTTTTGGAAATTCTTAATTGATACATGCTTATATTCAAGGAACAATCGTGGATAACGAAGACCTAATCTTTGCAAATAGAATAAACAAATGCTTTACATTGGATGGATTCACAAATCACAAGAGCACTAGCCCGCATATACGTTGTATTCATCTCTTTTTTGTTCAGCATCGCCATGTATAATCTTATATTTAAAAGTCAAACCTACAGCAAGTAAAGCAGCTCGAGTTTATAATCTTTTCAGGATGAAACTAGAAAATAAGACGGTAACCATATCTAGTTATCGCAGCAACTGTACTTAATTACACATGCTTTGATGTGACCAAATTGACTTATTATAGGCATTGTTTTAAGAGTAATAAAACAGCAACAGAAGGTTGTGCACCGAATCTATGCACCGAATGACGTGACAAAATCCTGATCGTTGATTAATATTAACTGATAATAAATCAACGATCAGGATTTTGTCACGTTATTCGGTGCACAGATTCGGTGTACAACCTTCGGTGGTTCTATCATTTTCGTTGTTTTATAACCTGACCTGTTAAGGGACCTAGTAAAGTCACCGGGTCTAAAGTTGACCAGTTTGACCTATAAAACCGACAGTCTTATGGTGATCCAAAAAGTATAAAATCTTACAAACACACCGCTGAAAAATACGAATTAGTCCCTACAGATTCGAAATCTAGCAAATACAACTTTGCTATCTGTTTGGGTTTTGACTTTTCCAACCAAATTTCGACTGATTCCGATGGCCAAAATTCAATCCAACACTACCACCTAAATCACTGTCCTCCACTCTACAAAACAGATCTAACCTTGAAACTTGGTAGCCCCCCGTTCGCCGATCGTGACTCATGTATACCGCCACGATTGGATTGATTTTTCCAACCAAATTATGATTGATTCCGACGTCCAAAATTCAATCAAACACCACCACCTAAACCACCAGCCTCCACTCCACAAAACCCCTCTAACCCCGACACTTAGTAACCCCCCGTTTGCCGATCGTAACTCGCATATTAGGTTGAATTTTCTGACCAAATTCCGACTTATTTCGATGTCCAAAATTCAATCTTACACCATCCTTTGAACCACCAGCCTCTACTCTACAAAAGCCCTCTAAACCCCACACTTGATAACCCCTCGCTCGCCAATAATCAAATTAGAGATTTTGTGAATAGTGAAAAATGATAACCCAGACCAGAGAGGCTATTGGGTCCTAATTGGACCAGTCCGACCAACCAGTCCAGTCCAGGTTTTGAAATAGAGATTATAGGATCCCCAAGTGACAACAATAATTGCTCCAGAAAAATAAAATCTTTCAGTATTTCACAACAAAAACGCCCAAGGTCGATAAAGTGATCTGTGTTATTTACAATAGCAGATCAATCGTTACAGATTTTTTGCATGCAAAATGCTGTTTTATGTAATGCAGGTTATCCGGCTGAAAAACAAAATGATCATTTATGTCACTAAATGAACTCAGCAATGCAGCATTGATCCCGCTCATTGTACCCTTCTTGCTGATATTACCATATATTATTTCAACAACTATGTGCTGCAAGGATATAATTGTTAGGAATCAAGTATTTAGCCAAAACAGAACATGATCATCATGGTTGAATTCACACTGTTTACATATTTTACGGGATCATAATAAACTCAAATATACTACAAAAATTACCCGTGCCGTTCTGAACAATGAAACTAGTTTAACTGTCCAGATTTACAGTAACTAAAATAAAGTAGAAGTATGAAGCAAATTCTATACAAGCTGGGTTTGAGTGGCAAGAAAACTTGGAGCGATATGAATCAACAGTTAAATCACAGTTGTAGTTATAGGTTGATATTCAATCACTGAGATTTAAAATGATATCAATGCAAAAGCTAAGCAATAATGAAACAAGAGGAACCATAAATTGTCAAGGATCTAGTATTATAACATTGCAACCATAAACACGGGCCACATTTGTTCTAGTAAGGCGTTGAGTGTTGTCTAATTGCTAAATGAAGCAAAGATTTAAGGTTATACTCCACTTAAAGGCAGATAACTTCTTTTTAAGGTAAACCTCCACTCCACAGGCACCACATTGCTGCTGCTCTGACGAAATTCTAAATGAGCTACCTTTCAGGTCGTTATCAGGCTTAAATGCTCAGATTCTTATTAGGCTATACTTGAAATCCAGACAACTTCCTAATATTCCAAATAATGATGCACATCAGAATCTCTCACTTTGTTAACTGCTCTAAGATGCTCCAGTGCAGATATACTGGTATTCTTCCAAGTTCTCATACCAACTTGTGAGTCATGACTGAGAAGTAGAAATACTGTGTCTATTAGACACCATGGTACTTTTACCATAAAGCATCATGCATAACTAGTAACTTAGTTGCACAAAATTAATATTCATGAATCCAACACTCGTTTTGAGAATTTTCTTAAACTGGTAGAATTCAATGATCTAATTAAAAGAGTACTTTTCAATATGTTAGCCCTCCAAAAGCCATAACCATCATACATAAACATAAATGATCCTATTCACAGTAAAATTTTCACCTTCTTGACAGTATTTCCAATTATGTACTTGAGTATGAATGGAGTTACCCAAACCATAGAATGGAACTTACAGTTCTGGGGTAGGCAACTCAAGTCAAAGTAATGTGGCAATTACAACCCAGAACTAGATGCTGTTTACTTTGACATGCTTCAGGGAATGAGCTAAACAAGTAGACAGGAAGTTAAAAAATTTACATCCTATAGGCACTTACACTTACTCTGCATGTGTTAGCTCACGGATTTCCTTAATTGCTGTACTAATACCATAAAGTGCCATTGTCTTAACCTGCTTTGTGAAAAAGGTAAAACCATTTTCATTTTGTCAGCCAATTTGCCTGAGCAAAAACATGGAAAATAAAAGACACTTGCACTTAGTTCATTGGAAGTTTACCTCAAGTTTGTTTGGTTTGGCTTTATGGCCATATGGAAGCAGTCGAAGTTCACCAATCAACTGGATGCAGTCACTAACACTTTCCGGTGACACAAAGTCCAAAACCACATTAACGCAGGACTGCAGGTCATCACGTATTAGATCAAAAAATAATAAAGCATAACTGCTGATAAATTCCCTATTGAGCTTGAAACTGAAATCATACAGCATTCTCACAATCAATTACGAGAAGTACATGCTAAAATTAAGAGTCCATTGAATGAAATTTTTGTGTGCTTCTTTAGTCCCTTCCCCTGCTAACAGACAATTTTTTATTTTACCGACAAGAGATCTTGAGGTTATTTAGAGCTCACATTTACTCGTAATCCTTTGCACATGACTTGTAAAGAAAGACAAAGGGGAAAGTAACAAACAAATATGAAATACTGGAATTCACCTATTCATCAATTGTAGACGTCATAACAACCATTTAATTTTGTGAAAGTCAATTA